AGTATAAATCCTTCCATTCCCCACCATCCAGTCAGAGCTGAAGAAGCTTCTTGGATGAGAAGCGAAATTTCTTCAAAGAAAAAACAGAAAGTCCACGTCAGGGTTCCGACGAATGCCCTAATTAAATCATGAGTCTTGAGCCAAGCTGGAAAAGAAATCCAGGTATTTATTAGGAGGTTCATGTTGGCAGGTTCCCAAATGAAGCCAGCTCTGACCCTACGTAATTTATGCTCCAATTATGACCCTGTTTCCCCCCCCCCCCCGTGTGTCTTCAATCACATTCAACAACAGAGCAATTTCAAGGGTTGTAGAGGTCACTCCCCTTCGACTGCTGCAGGTATCCCTGGGATACAGCCTTGAGAGAGATAAGCATGGAATGTGCATCTGTTTTTTTTGCTGCTGTGCAGTTTCGCCAGTTTCCCATCCCCACTGACCTATGGCAACTAGAGAGCAGGCCAGGGATGCTTTGTGAGTTGACAGTCCAGTTGCCTCTTGAAAAAAGCACATTTGGGACAACCATCACCTGGATGACTGAGAATCTCCATAGATAATAAAAAACAAACTTTCTCTTTCTGTGTGTTTGTGTCTGTTTGTGTGTGTGTGTTTGTTTGTATATGAGAGCCAGCCTGGTGTCATGATTAAGGCACCAGGCCAGAAACTGGAAGACCATAAATTCTGCCTTAGGCACAAAGGCAGTTTGGTGACCTTGGGCCTCTTCACATTTACAGTTTAAAATAATCACAATTCCAAAAATGGAGGAAAAAAAATTTTTTTTTTGCAATGGTTGCAATGCCCCGAGGTCATGTGAACACGTTTTGTGACCATCTGACAAGCAAAGTCAATGGGGAAACCAGATTCACTTAACAACCCTGTTACCAATTTAACAACTGCAGAGAAATGTCTCACTTAACAACAGAAATTTTGGGCTCCGTTGTGGTCATAAAACGAGGACTGCCCGTAATGGATGGAAATTCAACAGCAGTTGCTTACTCTGGCTTCCTTTGTAGCAGGGAAAACAAGCAATTTAAGGTCACTGTATTGAGGATTTCCCAGACAGAGGTGGGTAAAATGAGGACCCAGTTTGTTGGGGGCAATAGGCTGAATAGTGGTGGTATTCAAATTTTTTTTCCTACCGGTTCTGTGGGCATTGCTTGGTGGGTGGGTCATGTGACTGAGGGGCAGCACCTTGCTGTGAGTGACATCTAGTTGGCCATGCCCACTCAGTCACATGACCCCACCACCAAGCCATACCCACAGAACCCGGTAGGGAAAAAAATTGAATTAATACTTTATTTTTCCTTAACATCACCCATTCCCCAAGGCCCCGGAGCCTCGGCCTGCTCTCCACCCATTCTCCCTTAAGCGTGATGTGTTGCCCCGTTTCCCTCCTTCAGAGGCCCAGGCCCTTAATCTCCCTGCTTGCTCCCCCACGACCACCTCTTTCCTCGGCCCGTGGCTGCGACCTTACCTTCCTCCGGCAGCTGGCTGCCAGGGAAGGCAAGCCAGGGCTGAGCCATCGCCGCTGAGCTCCCCGCCAGCCTGTATCTTGCCCCCCTTGTCGCGAGATGTCTGAAGCCACCACATCTTTTTTTCGGTGCAGCTGGAGTCCAGCCACACCAAAAATACAGACATGGCGGCTGCAGACTCCTTACAGCGAAAATTACTGACCTCCGGCTCCACTCCGCTTCTCGAATGCCCTGCCACCTCCCTGTTCTATGCACCAGCTGTGCACGCGCACCCCATTGCTTGCTGTCGCTGCACCAGAGGGACTTGCCCGGGCAAGTCTTATTTTTAGTGCGTCTGGAGTCCCTCAGCCATGGGAGGAAGGTACGGTGGTGGCCGCAGGACGAAAAAAGTGGCTGTCGTGAGGGAGGAAGCAGGGAGATTAAGGGCTGGGGCTTCTGAAGGAGGGGAAACAGGACGTGTTGTCCTTAAGGGAAAGCGGGCGATGAGCGGGTGGAGGCTCTAGGGCAAGGCCAGAGCCCGGGAATGGTGCATTCCCTGACCCAGTTGAGGCAGATGGCTAATGGGCAGCGGCTCTGGGGCAATGTCGGAGCTGGGGAATGGTGCATTCCCTGACCCAGCTGAGGTGGGAGGTGGCTTCGGGGCCTCGGGGAATGGCATGTCCCTGGGCCCCGGCCCCTGACCAAGGCGAAGGGCAAGCAGTCGGCACGCATTGCTTACCTTTGGTGAGCTGAGCTGGGCACGGCGAGGCGACTGGCGAGTCGACTAGCTGGACCGCGTGGTGATGCAAAGGCAACATATATAGGGCGGGGGTGGGGAGGGCGAGCGAATGGGCAGGCAGGCTGAGTGAGTGGGCAGGCAGGCAGGGCGAGTGGCGACTGGGCGGGTGGGGGAGAGACCATCCAGAGGTCGTTACCGGTTTGGCGAACCAGGTCAAATTTCCCCTACCGGTTCGCCCAAACCATTGTGAACTGGCTGAATACCACCTCTGATGCGGACTCTATAAATCGCTTAGAGAGGGCTATAAAGCACTGTGATACGGTATATAAGTGCTATTGCTATTTAGGCCACTGATTTTGAGATGGCTAGGACTATGTACTAGGGGCTTACTTTGAAATTGGCCTCTTCACATCCCGCCCTCTCCCCCAAATAACAACAAATGATGGTGACCCAGTTGTGGCTAGATTGATACAGCTTTGTGATCCTGCGGTTGAAAATTTACTATAGAAAGTCCTTGCTTACTGACTGCCCTGTTCACATAGCATTCAAAGCTATGTGGCAACAAAAGAATTTTTTTACAGGTGGTCCTCCCACTTAAGACTGTTGCAGTGTCCCTGCAGTCACCTTATTGACATTTATGTGCTTCACAGCTGGCTTCAAGAAGCAAAATCAATGGTATAGGCCCATGATGGCAAACCTATGGCATGCATGCCACAGGTGGCACACGGAGCCATATCTGTGGGCACGCGAACATTGCCCTAGCTCAGCTCCAGCATGCATGTGCGCACCGGCCAGCTGATTTTCGGGCCTTACGGTCCCACCAGAAGTCAGGAAACGGGCCGTTTCCGGCCTCTGGAGGGATGGGGAAGGCCGTTTTTGCCCTCCCCAGGCTCCAAGAAAGCCTCTGGAGCCTGAGAAGGGCGAAAAACGGGCCTACTGGGCCCACCAGTAACCTTTTTGCCGCCGCGTGCCAAAAGCAGGGGGAGCGAGGTGGAGGTCGCCCATGCATGCAGGGGGGGTTGCACGTGCATGGATGGGGGGGCAGGGGTGCTGGAGGGGTATTGAATTATGGGTGTGGGCACATGTGCGTGCTCCCCCCTTTTTGGCACGCGACAGCAAAAAGGTTAGCCATCGCTGGTATAGGCCATGTTGTCAACATTTCAAGTAACGCACCCATTGAAAGCAGAACTCCGAGGCAAGTAGATTCCTCAAAGAACAATTTTATTGGATACATCATATTGGCACAACTGGTGAAAACAGACTCTGAAAGTTCCCACGGTTTTCACCTAATCAAAAAGTGAACGTTTCCTGTGTCCCCCAAGTCATGAGTCACTTTGTCCAATAGAGGTGCTGGCTGGTTGCTTGGTTACTCCACTCCTCCTCTTCCCAGCCACCTGTTGAAATGTCCTTGGTTCCCACAGGAAAGCTTTTTGTTTTGATTACAACCCCCCAGGTAGCTATTTCCCTACGTCCCTGTCTTGTGGCAACCCTGGAGCCGCACAGATAGCCTCAGCCAGGTTTGCTTCAGGGTTGACAAATGTCGCATCCGTGGAGTGTCACTTGTGTCAAGGGTCAAGCTTTACCATAGTTCAGTATTAATTCAGAATGAATGTAGAGGTGGCTTTTGCCTGAACAAATATTTGTTTAACTAAGTAAGGCATGATCTTCAGGGCAGCCTAGTCTTAATTCTATACATTGCAATTTTGAATTCTATCCACTATTTTGAATTTTGTTGTTTTATGGGACCAATGAAATGTGCTTCTCTGTCCCAGTCTTTGCCCTTTGGAACAGCATTGCCTAGAGCAGTGATGGCTAACCTTTTTGCCATCACGTGCCAGGAAGGGGGGGGGCGGGGGAGATTCGCGTGCACGTGTGCCCACACCCATAATTCTATGCACCTCGCCCCATGTATACGACCCCCCCTTCCCCCTAGCACACGATGGCCCGATAGGCCCGTTTTTTTCCTCTCACCTGGCTCCAGATCCTCTCTATGCATCTGGGGAGGGCAAAAACAGCCTTCCCCACCCCCTCAGCCCGTTTCCCAACTTCTGGTTGGACAGGAAGTGACTTTTTTGCTGTCCCCAGCCTCCAGAGACTCTGACGCATGCGCACCGGAGCTGAGCTGGCGTGCCAGGCGACATGGTTCCACGTGCCGCCTGTGGCACACGTGCCATAGGTTCGCCATCACGGTCCTAGAGATAAGGATGGTGTTCTCTCTCCTGGGTTCCAGAAATCACTCCTGCTTGATTCACTTGCGGAACTGCTTGCCACTTTGCTGGGAGGGGGGGCAGGGGAAATAAAGGGAGCTATTAACCCCAAGGAAAATTGCACCCCCATTCTCCATCCTGGTATGTACCCAAGGGCTCCTTCCTTCTAGGAAGGAAGAGGGCTCACCCATCGACACCAATGCCCTCCAGCCAGCCATACCTTGTCAGCAGACTTCCAAGTCACTCTCTTGTTCCCCAACTCCATTAAGAGATTTCAGCCTTGATTCATAAATAGCCAATCGCCATTTGTCGGTTGGGCATTGTCACCAGCCAGTTAGGTGCAGAGACCAGAGAGTAGTGGAAAAGTGGGCAGGGATACGACATCCCTGCCTTGCACCACACAAGCTATGGGTTTCTGGGAAATGTAGTCAGAAGGCCCAGTGGTGCTGAAGCAGCCACAACTTCACCAAATTTCAATCCCATGGGAATAATGAATCCCAGGTTTTGGATGCATTCTTTAAGTTAGCCCATTTGAGTTACGTCGGTTCAAAAACTGTTGCCCTCTAACGTTTAACTTCCCCTAACTGAAGGTTACAAACAGACAAACTCTGAGAATTTAGAAGTTTATAGGTTAATTACAACTATTTTCTTCCTTTACTGGATTAATAGGCCATTGTTGTGTTTTTATAAAGAGAAAGCAATTGACAATATTTAAAATAAAAATACAAGTTTAAAGCAATTACAGGTATGTCAGGGTGCTGATTAATCCCATTCTGCCTTTGGGATAATCGCACCTTGATTAAGAGGGGTGGATCGAGACCTTTCCTTGCCAGCATACTTTAAGAAAACAAACCCGAAGATATATCTTCTAAGAAAACTCATATTTATTGTAAAGAAAATAAAACATCTAACTATCTAAAATTTAATTGTTACATTTTTGAAAAAGTTCGTGCCGGCTACTTCTCAGCAGTCGGACTTCTTGGCAAGAGAAGAAAGAAAAGAGTGTGAGAAGGAATGTGGGTGAAGAGACATGCGCAGTTTAGCTTACTGATAAGGATTCTTGGCAAGCTACGGAAAGTCTGATAGTCCAGAAATGAGAGCTCAGCTGGTAAATAAAACAATGCAGTGACAAGGTAGACCTTGACTTACAACAGTTCGCTTAGTGACCAAAGTTATTACAGTACTGAAAAAAGTGACTTATGATCATTTTTCACACTTATGACTGTTGCAGCATCCCCATAGTCATGTGATTTACATTCGCATGTTTGATGACTGACTCATATGACGGTTGCAGAGTCCCGGGGTCATGTGATCACCTTTTGTGACCTTCTGACAAGCAAAGTCAATGGGGAACCCAGATTCACTTAACAACCGTGTTACTAATTTAATAACTGCAGTGATTCACTTAACAAATAGCAATAGCACTTAGACTTGTATACCGCTTCAGAGTGCTTTTACAGCCCTCTCTAAGCGGTTTTACAGAGTCAGCATATGGCCCCCAAATAATCTGGGTCCTCATTTTACCCACCTCAGAAGGATGGAAGGCTGAGTCAACCTTGAGCCTGGTGAGATTTGAACTGCCAAATTGCAGTCATCAGAAGTAGCCTGCAGTACTGCACTCTAACCACTGCGCCACCGAGGCTCTTATGTGGCAAGAAAAATCGTAAAATGGGGCAAAACTCATTTGACAAATTTCTCACATAGCAACATAAATTTGGGACTCAATTGTGGTCGTAAGTTGAGACTACCTGTATATTACCTGATCTAATTTGCTAAAAGAAATATATTGTGTCTTCTTTCCATTTTTCTACTAATGTAGGGGCCAAGAACAACTCCTGTGGAAGGGCATGTGCAGCCTGGAAACTTCCAGAATAGGCCTCATCCTGCCTGAGCCAGTTTTTTGGTTGTAGAAGCATCCTCAAAAGAATCTTTCCTGCTGATATAAATACAGGTAATCCTTGACTTACAACAATTTGCTTAATGACCAAAGTTAACAACGGCACTGAAAAAAGACCATTTTTCACACTTATGACCGTAGCAGCATCCCCATGGTCACGTGATTTACATTCGGATGCTGGAAAACTGACTCACATTTATGACGGTTGCAATGTCCCGGGGTCATGTGATCACTTTTTGCGACCTTCTAATAAGCAAAGTCAATGGGGAAAACGGATTCACTTAACAACCGTGTGACTAATTTAACAACTGCAACGATTCAGAAATTTCTCACTTAGCAACATACATTTTGGGCTCAATTATGGTCATAAGTCGAGGACTACCTGTATTGGAGCAGATTTGCAGAATGGGAGGTGCTCCTTAAATACAGAGCTACTAAGCTAGGAAACAGAAAACGATGCAGCCAATTAAAATAACCAGAAGGGTTTTGTACAAAAAGCCAGTTGCCCAGAGCAAGACCAGGATGACAAAACAGATGACAGAGTACCTACGGACATCCTTGTCAGCTAGCATATCCATAAGAGTGTAAGTGTTTCTGGCCAAAGTACTCGGAGTCTCAGAGAAGAATTTCAATTTCTTGATACTTCGTCTTATCTTAGGGCAGCCCAGCAGCCGGTGCTTGGGATTTTTCGCATCCAGGAATGGAAGCATGTGATGAGTGAGACTATCGATTTGAGGTTTCAAGGCATCGTAAATGAACACATAGTGGCTCGTCAGCCGAACTGCGTTTGCTTCAGAATGCAGGGTCCCCACCAGGTTAGAGCAGCCCCTGAGGGCCTCCTGCAGATTCAGAACATCCTTGTGGAAGTCGGTTAGCTGCTTTTTTTGCTCTTCCATCTCTTCAAGATTCTTCTGGGTCGTCTTAATTTTACTCTCTTGATTCTCCAACTGCTTCTCACATTCGGCAACTTGGTGCAGGGCCTTCTGCTCCTTGGCATGATAATCATTTACCATTTCCTGTGCCGCATCGGCCTTTTCCTCAGCCGCCTTCTGAGACATATGAGCGTCAATAGCCTGAATACCCCCTGAGAATGAGACAAAGACAAAATCAGGGGATGTAACACGTAGCCAACAAGTTCTCCAGCCAAGATCATTCCACATATATTTAGTCCGTTTTTTCCAGACTATAAGACACACTTTTTTGTCTCCCAAAAGGGGCGGGAAAATGTCTGTGCGTCTTATAGACTGAATATTGCCAAAGCCCTGCCCACCCGCTGGCCATTTTTTGGCCTCCGCATGCTCCGTTTTCGGGCTTTTTTTCAGGCTTTTTTCAGGCTTTTTTTGTCCATTTTCAAGGCTTTTTTGATCCATTTTTCAACTTTTTTGGCCAGTTTATTATGAAAACCGGGCTGAAATAAGCCTCAAAAACGGGCCCAAAAAGCCTCAAAAATGGGCCCAACAAGCCTCAAAAATGGGCTAAAAAAACCTTGAAAACAGGCTGAAAAAACCCCAAATAGGCCAAAAAAAGCCCCCAAAATGGGCTGGAAAAAGCCTTGAAAACGGGCTGAAAAAAGCCCCCAAAATGGGCCCCAAAAGCCTTGAAAACAGGCTGAAAAAAGCCTCGAAAATGGTCTGAGAAAAGGCTGGAAAAGGGCCAAAAAGGGACCAAAAATGGTACGTGTGGAGGCCAAAAACTTTTTGTTATTTTGTCGTCTTCTAAATTTAGGTGCATCTTATAGTCAGGTGCATTTTACAGTCTGAAAAATACGGTAGATGATTCCCTGCTAGAATTCTGGGAGTTAAAGTACGCCAGGCTTAAAGTTGCCAAGGTTGGAGACCCCTGGTCTAGTTAACATTTGGGTGGGAGACCACAAGGAAACCAGCTTATTAAACCAAGCATGGTGTTGACTCTGAAGCTAGCCTGATCGAGGCCATTTTGGAGGCTTCAGTGCTGCCACAATGGTGCTGAGGGATAGGGAGGGTGGACTAGAGATAGCTGGGGTTTTGTAGCCAAAACAAAATAGTTTCCCCTGTGAACCAAGGACATTCCCACAGGTGGCTGAAGAGAGAAGTGAAGTTCCCAAGCAATCGGACAGCACCTTGATTGGACCATGTGACTGATTTTTGGGGAAAGGGGGAAAATGTTTAATTAGGTGAAAACCGAGGGAACCTTTAGAGTCGGTTTTCACCAGCCTCTGCCAATATGATATATCCAATAAACTTGTTCTTTGAGGAAACAGCTTGCCTTGGAGTTCTGCTTGTTACGGGTGTATTATTTGGAACCCTGACATATGGTGTCAGTGTGACTCATTGAGTCAACTCCATGGAAGTCTAAAAGAGACGTGGTTGCTTTAATGAGAGATCAGTTGCTTGTGCTCCTGAGCACCCGAAAGTATTTCTTCCACCTCATGTTTTTGACATGTTTTGGGTGTCGTTAATACTCACCAATAATAGTTCCCACAACTGGTATCCACATCAACCGCAAGGCCTTATCTTTCCGCCTTTCTTGTTCTCTTATTTCTTCCACTGCAGCTTCTCTATCCCTTTTTGCCCTTTCCTTCATAGCTTTTTGGCGTTGATAGTCTTCTTTTTGCAACTCACCGCGTCTTTGCAAATCCTCCTGAAGGTTCTGAAACTTGACAAGCTCGTTCTCTTTGGCTTTCTGTTCATCCATGAGTTTTTTCTTTGAGACCATAATCTCAGAAGTCGCTGCATCCACATTCTCCAGGTCCCACAGAACCAATTCTTCTGTCTTGCCCAACTCCTCTGTAGCCTTCCCGATGTGCTCCTTTAGATCTATGTAAAAGTCAACATCTTCTTTTGCATGGTATAGACAATTGACCACAGAGGTTAACTCACATAGTCCTTGGTTGAAATGGTGTCTGACTTTTTTTTCAAATGCGTTGTCATGGGCACGCCTTCGTACAAGGGCCATACTTTCACTGAATCACAGTGGAGCCTGGTTTTCAGAGGAAAAAAAAAGAGGGAGATTTCAAAGAGAAGGTAGGATATGATTCAACATATAACTAATGGAGAACAAAAAAAAAAAAAAGTTGCCCAAAGAATCATGGATATAGAAGCTCAAAATGACATAGCCACACTTAGTAAGGCTGGTAGCTTGAAATGGCTGAGCAAATATAAACGCATCTTCCAAATGTAAAAGGTAAAAGTTTCCCCTCACACATATGTGCTAGTCGTTCCCGACTCTAGGGGGCGGTGCTCATCTCCGTTTCAAAGCCGAAGAGCCAGCGCTGTCGGAACATGTCTCCGTGGTCATGTGGCCGGCATGACTAAATGCCAAAGGCGCACGAAACGCTGTTACCTTCCCACCAAAGGTGGTGCCTATTTTTCTACTTGCATTTTTTACGTGCTTTCAAACTGCTAGGTTGGCAGAAACTGGGACCAGTAACGGGAGCTCACCCAAATGTACAACTATTTAAAATCACAATTGCCAAAACATCTCAGGGAGACATTAGCAAGATTCAAACAGCTTGATACAATGGTTAGATTTGGGAGATTCCATTCTACCCCATACAATGAACGTACATGTATCTCTGGAGCTGAAGAGGTAGAAGATCTGACTCATATATTGTTTGATTGCTGTTTGTATAAGGAGAAGAGATAAATACCTTGAGCCACATATTAAACATATGGCCCAGTGGGAGACCCATATTAAAACAACATACCTCATGTGTGGGCAGAATCTGAAAGCAACATTTAATACAGCACAATTTCTAACTAAAATGGTCCGACTGAGATCGGCATATGTGGACATAATGTAGGCTCCAAAAGATAGAAGATAGGTAAAGATTTCTCCTGTCTGACTCTAGGGGATGGTGCTCACCCCCATTTCGTAGCCAAGGGAGTCAGACACTTCCGTAGTCATGTGGCCAGCATGACTATATGCCGAGACATACAGAATGCTATTATCTTCCCACTGAAGTGGTACCTATTGATCTACTTCAGGGGTGAAATCCAGCAGGTTCTGACAGGTTCTGGAAAACTGGTAGCGGAAATTTTGAATAGTTCGGGGAACCAGCAAATACCACCTCTGGCTGGCCCCAGAGTGGGGAGGGAATGGAGATTTTGCAATATCCTTCCCCTGCCACGCCCATCAAGCCACACCACATCCACCAAGCCACGCCCACAGAACCGGTAGTAAAAAAAATTGGATTTCACCGCTGATCTACTTGCATTTATGCTACCTGAAGGCAAGAGAATATTAAATTCTCATGTTTTTGAATTTCCCCAAAGAGAGGGAACTGTAGTGCACCATCCCTTTAAAGTAGACCCAATTGCAAAGAGGAGGAAGCTGTCCCAAATCCCACCCTCTGGAGCCTGACCAGGGGCAACCATGACTTACAACTAGGCCTGCTCTAAAGAAGCTGAATTGTCCTGCTTCGCTTTTATACAACATACAATAAGCTTACATGACAGCTGTGCTACAAAAGGCCCCCAGTGTCAGACAAAACTATCTATAGAAAAAGAGGAGGCTGATGGCAGCTGTTTGGTGAGACAGCCAAAACATCTGTCCCAGGTGATTACAAATAGCTTTTGCCATTCTGTTGACCTTTCACTCGGTTCAAAGAGATCTTTCTGGAACGGTTCAGAATCACTTTTGGTTTCCAATTCCTTGAAAAGGTTGCTATCGTCCAGAAATGTTCAATGCTTTCAAGTCAAAATAACTTATGAACAATTTAAAAGCAGCAACTTCTAAATTCCTTTCCCAAGAACCCTCCCCCCTATTTTTAAATCCTATTTCTTGCTTTCTGATTTCGCCACATTAAAAAGTCCTCTTACCCCATGACTGCTAAGAGACTTAGATAAGGAACTTTTTCAAGAGCTTGTTGGAAAGCCCAGTTCATGGTATCAATCTCTATCCATGGACCTATGGACCAGTGGTGGGTTTCAAATTTTTTTACTGTGGTAAAAAAATGTGGGTGTGACTTGGTGGGCGTGGCATGGCTTGGTGGGCTGGCAGGGGAAGGATACTGTAAAATCTCCATTCCCACCCCACTCCAGGAGGATACTGTAAAATCTCCATTCCCACCCCAATCCAGGAGAAGGTTATTGCAAAATCCCCACTTCCTCTCGATCAGCTGGGACTTGGGAGGCGGAGAATAGATGGGGGCGTAGCCAGTCAAAATTTTTACTACCGGTTCTCCAAATTACTCAAAATTTCTGCTACCGGTTCTCCAGAACTGGTCAGAACCTGCTCAAACCCACCTCTGCTATGGACACCCTAAAAAGAAAAACTTTGAGAAGATGGGTTTGGGTGTCAGTTAACTTCAGTTAAAATTCCAAGTTGGTTCCTAACCTCAAAACATTGTGGATCTCAGGATGAAGGTAAGAGAAGAACATAACAGAAGTATTGTTTTTCTCACACATCCCTCACCCCTGGTGTCAATTTGAAATTCTGTGTTCCTCAAAGAAGATGCAATATTTCCTAACCCAGAGATATAGAGGGCATGATTTGTGGAGAATGTGGAGGACAGCAAGGTTTCATACTTAGGCAGGAAAAGCCAAAGGTACAAGTGCAGATTAGCTGAAACCTGGCTCAAAAACAGTAACTGTGAGAGGGACCTAGGAGTGCTATTAGATCATCACTTAAGCCAGCAGTGTGCGCCAGCAGCCAAAAAAAGCGAATATAATCCTTGGTTGTGTAAACAGGCATAGAATCAAGTACCCCTTTATAAAACCTTAGTAAGGCCACACCTGGAATACTGCATCCAGTTTTGGTCACCACATTACAAAAAAGACGTTGAGAAAAAGACTTTGGGAAAAAGTGCAAAGAAGAACAACTAGATGATTAAGAGCCTGGAGACTAAAACATATGAAGAACGGTTGTAGGATTTGAGTTTGGCTAGTCTAGAGAAAAGAAGGACTAAGGGGGACATGATAGCAGTATTCCAGTATTTGAGAGGCTGCCACAAAGAAGACGGGGTTAATTTATTTTCCACAGCATCAGAGGGCAAGACACAAAACAATGGATGGAAACTAATCAAGGAGAGAAGCAACTTGGAATTGAGCAGAAACTTCCCAACAGTGAGCACAATTAACCAGTGGAACAGCTTTGCCTTCAGAAGTTGTGGGTGCTCCATCACTGGAGCTTTTTAAGAAAAGACTGGGCAGCCACTTGTCTTAAACTGCATAAGGTCTCCTGCCTGAGCAGGGGGTTGGACTAGAAGACCTCCAAGGTCCCTTCCAGCTCTACTCTGATTGATTGATTTCTTTGAGAATCTTCAAAAGCTGTGTGCTGGAGGATTTTCGCACCTACAATTTCTCTTCCTTACAAGAGAAATAATGAAGCCTCTCCATCCTGGATCACAGGGAGTCTTCAGTGACAGATAAAGAACTGTATTTACCAAGTTGAGATAAATGGACTCAGTTGCCGTCCAGTCAATATTGATTCCTGGCAATTGCCTGGACAAATCCCTGCAGATTTCTTGGCAAGATTTTGGAAGCAGTTTGCCCTTGCCTGCCTTTTCTTTCTAGGATTGAGGGAAAGGGACTGCCCCAAGATAGGATAGAATAGGATAACAGAGTTGGAAGGGATCTTGGAGGTCTTCTAGTCCAACCCCCTGCTAAGGAAAGAAACCCTACACCACTTCAGACAAATGGTTATCCAACATCTTCTTAAAAACTTCCAGTGTTGGAGCATTCACAACTTCTGGAGGCAAGTCGTTCCACTGATTAATTGTTCTCACTGTCAGGAAATTTCTCTTTAGTTCTAAGTTGCTTCTCTCCTTGATTAGTTTCCACCCATTGCTTCTTGTCCTGCCCTCAGGTGCTTTGGAGAATAGCTTGACCCCCTCTTCTTTGTGGCAGCCCCTTAGATATTGGGACACTGCTGATCTTGTAGATCACCTAGTTGGCTTCGCATAAGGCATAACTAAAACTCAGATGTCCCAGTTTCTAGCCCGATGCCTTAACTAGCACACAAAAACTGGTTCTCTTAAATTAACTCAGAGGAATATCTTAAATTAGAACCCCTTGCTTTTTTTAAGAAAACAAAGTCATTTTGGCTAAAACTATCAAGAAAATAAAAACAAACTACCCCAAAAGCAAACATTTTGCGCTCATTTTATAAGCCTGCAAAAGATTGAGAGAAAAATATCCTTACCTTGCCGGAGTGTGCTACCAAATGAAGAAAAAAAAAATCAATTATTTAGTTTCTGTTTCTAAATCGTATAAGAGAACTTTAAAACCTCCTCCCCCTTCTAAGTTCTAGTGTCCTCTTCTGCCTTTAAAGTTAATAACAGATAGAGATTATTATCAAAACGAGGAAAGGAAGGAAAATATGTTTTGCTCAAAAGCCTCTCTCGGAGCTGCTCTGCAAAGCCACAAGGCCACCTCTTTTCTGAAAGCAAAGCGACCTTGGAGTTTCACTTCAATAACACCAGAAGCCCTTTGTCCTCAACTAACATGCTGTTCTCTGATCTTTGAAGCAAAGGAAAACTATATTGAGAATAAGAAGTCCAACTGGCGCCGGGAGGCCAAAATATGTAAATAAATACAGCAGGTAGTCTTTGATTTACAACCACAATTGAGCCCAACATTTCTGCCGTTAAGCGAGACATTTGTTAGTTGAATTTTGCCCCATTTCTCCAGTCTTCTAATCATCTTGGTTGCTCTTCTCTGCACTCTTTCTAGAACCTCCACATCTTTTTGACATCCTGGCGACCAAAACTGGATGCAATATTCCAAGTGGGGCCTTACCAAGGCATTATAAAGTGGTATTAACACTTAACTGATTTTGATTCTGTTCCCTCTGTTAATGCAGAAATGGATGTGGATCTGAAAAGAAAGCAAGGCAAGAGAGGACCGTTGAAACCCTGAAAGGTCTCCCTATCTAGAGATCCAGAGGCTCATTTATAAAACCTGTTGAGTATGGGCAGGCAAGGTCGGAAGGTTTCACTCCGGTCCGCATTAACCGTGGGAAAATGCTTTCAACCTATTGGCTAAGGGCTGTCAGCGCTAACCGCGGGAAAATACTTTAAATCTATTGGCTAAAGGCTGCCAGCCCTCTATAAAAGAGCGCTGCCAGCCCGAAGCCTTTTTGCTTTTCGCTAGTAAGGGATCAATGAAGACAAATAGTTACTTTTACCGGCTTCGACTCCTTTCTTCGCCCAATCTAACAAAACCAAAAGCTGCTTTGATTTGGAAGGGAATTTCCATAGATGCCCTCAGGAGCTACCTGAGCTTCCAGCTTCTCTGCTTTGCTGCCCCTCCAGAGAGCCAGTCATTCTGTAGAAAAGTTGCCGCCTTGATCCGGGAAAGCGCCTGATTTGCACGAATCGCTGCAAAACCGAAAGCGAAACTTAAAAAAAGGGCTGCCTTAAGGAAGGAGGCGAGTCCGCTTGAGCTTCGCAAGCATCAAAAAAAACCACCGGCCGAGCGAAGTTTAAAGGCTTCCCGCGGCGTCTGAATTTGCAAAGCAAGCAACCCGCCGGCGGTGGGTGGGGTGTTTATGCCGCTTTGTCGTCGTTCCTTGCAAAAGCGGCTGAGCCTCCGGAGGGTTTTGTGTGTGTGGCTTTAAAGGGGCGGAAATTTCCTCCCTCGCAAAGTGAAAAAGGCAAGTATGGCGCAGGGAGGGAGGGAAGGAAGAATTGGGAATTAGTTCGCTTTTGGGGGGTGGATGTTGTTGTTTTCCTATTTTTCTTCCTACACTTATTACTAACTCATCACCTGCAGTGATTCACTTAATTATTGTGGCAAGACAAATTGTAAAATGGAGCAAAAAACTTCATTTAAAAATGTCTCGCTTAGCAACAGGAAACTTGGTCTCAGTTGTGGTCATAAGTTGAGGATCCTGAAATGGATACTGAAATGTATCGATTTCAGGAAAGGAGAAAATGATAATAATTATATATATACAAGGGTAATAGGTAATGTACACATGAATATTCACAATTAGCGGAAAATTCCTCTCATGCAAAGTGGAAAATGCAAGTATGGCGGAGGGAGGGAGGGAGGGAAGGAAGAGTTGGGAAATTGTTAGCTTGTTGTTTTCCTATTTTGGGGCTACTTTTTAAGGGCGTGAAGTTTTGGGGCGATGTATCCAACTATCATGGATGATAAATAGAAAATGCATTGCAGGGAGGCAGATGACTGAGTCGGCTTCCCCATTAAGCCCAGTGCTTCCTGTTTGTCTCCAGCTCCTTTCAAAAGGACTCCTTTGCGAAACCAGTGGGGGAGGGCTCATGCCTTGCAACCTCCAACATGTCCCCCCCCCAACATGTCTGGTTTACATGTACTGGTTTACATACTTATGACTGTATGTTAGTAACCTTGTTGCTGGTATCCTTAGGATTTATATTGACTGTTTCCTAATATGATTTGACTGCTTATTTGTTCCCTATGACTATCATTAAGTGTTGTACCTTATGATTCTTGACGAATGTATCTTGTCTTTTATGTACACTGAGAGCATATGCACCAAAGACAAATTCCTTGTGTGTCCAATCACACTTGGCCAATAAAGAATTCTATACTATCTATCTCAGGGGTACTCAAACTTGGCAGCTTTAAGACTTGTGGATTTCAACTCCCAGAATTCGCCAGCCAGCCAGGGTGGATAAAAATCAATGATTTTTTCAAAAAAATCAGATTTTTTTTTTATTTAAATCGGATTTTTTTTATTTTTATCGAATTTATTTTAATAAAAAACTTTTGGGGTAAAAATCTATCGTAAGATAGTTTTCTATTTAAGATACATAAATAATTTAGTTTATTCAGCATGAAATGGAGCTTAGTTATGTAGCATGAGGCTGTATATTCTGCAGTACTGGGACTATCTGTGAGTCAACAGTGGGTCAAAGGAGTAGCAGAGATGACAGTTGCTCTTTAAAAATTATGATTTAAATCGAGTTGATTTAAATCAAGCCTTTTTACTAGTGATTTAAATTGTTATTTAAATCAACTCGATTTAAATCAAATCCACCCTGCAGCCAGCTATGCTAATTCTGGGAGTCGAAGTCCACAAGTCTTAAAGCTGCCATGTTTGAAGACCTCTGATCTATTCTATACTATACTATACTATACTATACTATACTATACTATACTATATACATGCCCCCACCCTCGTTAATACAGGTAGTCCTTGATTTACAACAATTTGTTTAGTGACCGTTCAAAGTTAACCACAATACTGAATAATAGGGATTTAGGATCGTTTTTCACACATTGCAGCATCCCCATAATTACATGATCAAAATTCAGATGCTTGTCAACTGACTCATATTTATGACGGTTGCAGTGTCCCTGGGGGTCATGTGATTCCCTTTTGTGACCTAACAAGCAAAGCCAAATTCACTTAACCTTGTTACTAACTTAACAACTGCAGCGATACACTTCATAACGGTGGCAAGGAAAATTGTAAAATGGGGCAAAGCTCACTTAACAGCTGTCTTGTTTAGCAACAGGAGCTTTGACCTCAATTGTGGTCGTAAATCGAGGATCTGTACAGCAAAGCAGGTGTTAAATGGGCTTTGCCCTGTTTTGCGATGTCTTTTTGCCACAGTTGTTAAGTGAATGACTTAACAAGTTAATGACACAGCTGTTGAGTGTATCTGGCTTCTCCTTTGACTTTGCTTGTCGCAAAAGGGATCACATGACTCTGGGACCCTGGAACCGTCATAAATACAGGCCAGTTGCCAAGTGTCTGAGCTTTGATCAGATGACTACAGGGAGCAGCAAGAAAAATGGTCACAATTCACTTTTTTCAGTGCCGTTGAAACTTCGAACAGATCCTAAATGAACTGTAAATTGAAAAAAGAAAATTGGTTTCTTAGGGCTTTTAGTATGCAATGCTCAGTTCTGGCTATGCCTTTCTCAACAGATGGAGCCGAGGATGTTTTTTATTTAGAGGTTTAAGTGGCGGCAGGTCTGACACATTGAGGGGTTTCCCCGCCCTGCAGCGGCCTGTGAGAATCACCTGGAGGAAGAGACGCAGCCAGGGCCGGATTTAGATGAAAAGAGGCTCTAGGCTATTCCACTTATGAGGCCCTTTCACCTATAGTGAAAGTGTAATTTTAATTTTGCTAACAATTTGAATGCAGGCCCCTCTTGATCTTGAGGCCCTAGGCTGAAGCCTAGTTAGCCTATAGGAAAATCCGGCCCTGGACGCAGCCCAGACAACAGTGAGATAAGAAATTTCTGTGTGCAAAATAGGAATGCAATTGGAGAAAATGTCTCAGGGTTTCTCCTTCCTGGTTTACTTTAGGATAAAGGCAGGAAGCGCCTTCAGACTCTGTTTCTGTAACCCTGTAAGAAAAGTAATTTTAGGATTCATGACTTTGGTGTCCAAGGCGGATCTGTCTGGGATGGCAGACACCCCTTCGCCTCAGACTTCCAGTACTTGAAGGCAGTGGTGGGATTCAAGTAATTGAACAATCGATTCTCTGCACTAATGATTTCTTCCAACAACCAGTTTGCCAAACTGCTCAGAAAGTTAACAACCGGCTCTCCCGAAGTGGTGCGAACTGGCTGAATCCCACCACTGCTTGAGGGGCTGTACAAGAGAGGGTTGACTTATTCTCCAGAGCAGGACAAAAAGAAACTTGTCAAAGGAGAGATCCAACCTAGAATTACGGACAAAATTCCCGACAGTGAGAACAATTGAGAACAACTAACCAGTGAAATGCTTGCCTTTTCAAAAGGTGTGGGCGCTCCATCGTTAGAGGTTTTAAAGAAGAAATAGGACAGCCATTTGTCTGGAATGGTATAGGGCCGTGATGGCGAACCTGTGGCACGGGTGCCAGAGGTGGCACGCAGAGCCCTCTATGGGCATGCACACTGTCTCCAGCTGCTCTTCTGGTTTCCGGTGTGCACATGCGCGCCAGCCAGTTGGTCTTCACAGACGCTGCAGTGCCGAAAAATGGCCAAAAACCAGGCTGTTTTTTGGTCTGTTTTCCGGCCTTTTTGGGGCCGTTTTCCAGGCCCAAAACAGCCAAAAAACAGGCATGCACGTGCCAGCCAGCTGGTCTTTGGGTTTCCAGCACTCCGGCATGCACACATGCACAAACATGTATATGTGTTCTGGTTTGGGCTCTTGGTCCCGAAGAGGTTCGCCATCACTGGTATAGGGCAGTGATGGCTAACCTTTTTGCCATCGTGTGCCAAAAGCGGGGGAAGTGCGGGGTGGTCACGTGCGTGCATGACCCCCCCCCATGGCCCCCCCGCTTTTGGTATGTGATGGCATGGTGGGCACAGTAGGCCCGTTTTTCGCCCTCCCCAGGCTCCAGAGGCTTTCTAGGAGCCTGAGGAGGGTGAAAACAGGCTTCCTCTCCACTCCCCGGAAGCCCTCTGGAAGCCGGAAACAACCCATTTGCCAACTTCCGGTAGGCCCAGAAGGCCTGAAAAATCAACTAGCCAGCATGTGCACGCGTGCTAGAGCTGAGCTAGGGCAATGCTCGCGTGCCCACCAATATGGCTCCGTGTGCCACCTGTGGCACCCGTGCCATAGGTTCGCCATCGCGGGTATAGGGTCTTCTGCTTGGGCAGGGGGTTGGACTAGAAGACCTCCAAGGTCCCTTCCAATCGTATTATTCTTTGTTCACTTAACAGGCAGAAATAGAAGCAGTTCTAACCTGGGAAACCTGTTCAGGCTTTCTTCAATTGACCAACATGGCTTCAGTACGGGAAGTGTCCAGTTTCACCGAGGACCTCCTGTGCCCCATTTGCCTCTCCCTCTTTCGGGAGCCCCGCATGCTAAAGTGCGGCCACAGCTTCTGCGCTCCCTGTCTGGAGCCCTGCATCCCCAAAGGGCAAAGACGGGGCCTCTGCCCCGAGTGCCGCCAACCCTTCACTTTACGCTGCATAACGATCAACCGAGTCCTCTGCAGCTTGGTCGAGAAGGCCCGCCTTCTGAAGCTGGATGAAGGGACTCAGCTGAGTGGCACCGGAGGCTGGTTCTTCTGTGAGGAACACGAGGAGCCTCTCAAGCTCTTCTGCAGCCAAGATGAGGAGCCCGTTTGCGTCATCTGCCGGGACTTGCCTCAGCACCGGGGACATGACTTCCTGCCCATCAAAAACGCGGTTCAGACTTATCAGGTGAGAACCGGACCTGAGAGGAGAAAGAAGGTGGCCTCTGGTTGAACAAGACACACTCGCTCTCTGTCTCTCTCACTCTCGTTCATCTCTCTCTTGATTTGTAAAATGTATTTGCCACTTACCTCACAGTGGGGCTGGTGAGATAAGCCTCTGGTTGAACAAGACCCTTCCTCTCCCCCTCTCCCTCCTCTGTCTTTTTTCTCTAAATTTGTGAAATTTATTTGCCACTTATCTCACTGGGGGGCTACTCGAGGCAGCTTATTTTGCAAGCCAAGATAAAAAGAAGTATCATATATGAATCATAATAAGTATCATAATAAACAAGGACACTGAAATGAAGCTTTTGAAACCTTCCAGATATTTGCCAGTAAATATAAGCTAGATTTCCACTCTGAAACGCATGGAGAAACACTAATATCATACTGAATCTGTATCTCGCATATATGCAATTCATTTCCCACTTCCTGAACATTCACCCTGGAAACAGCGAAGGAGTGGCCTGTGGACCTCTGCCAGTGAAAACGGAGCTTGGAAGGGTTGCATGCAGCCTTTCCGAGCTCCGTTTTTGCTGGCAGAGGGTTGCAGGAGGCCATTGCAACTAAAAACGGAGCTTGGGAGCCTGTTTTTGCTGGCAGAGGGTTCGGGCCACCTGACGTGAGTGACATTAAGCTGGCCATGCCTTCGGCCACACCTCCCCCCCCCCCGCTCCCAGGTCAAACCAAACCCTGACCTAAGCCATTATGGACTGGTTAGTTTCAAGGCACCGTTTAGATCAGGGGTCACCAATCTTGGCAACTTTAAGACTTGTGGACGTCAATTCCTAGAATTCCTCAGCCAGCAAAGGAACTCTGGAAGTTGAAGTCCACAAGTCTTAAAGTTGCCAAGATTGGAGACCCCTGGTCTAGATAAGTGTTTTTCAATCTTAGCAACTTGACTTGAGTTGTGTGGACTTCAACTCCCAGAATTCCCCATTCAGCAAGATTATAGTTGGTAAAGTTGAGAAACACCGGTCTAGGTTGATCAATTGGTTGATTATACACCATCAGGTCATTTTCGATCCTGTTGACCACATAGATATCTACCTTGACCAAGCCCTTACAGAAAGTGGCTGTGGAAGCTGGGACAGGTAGTTCTCGACTTACAACCTTTGTTTAATTATTGTTCAAAGTTACGACAACACTAAAAAATGACTTGTGACCATTTTTCAACTTTCTTTTCCTTTCAGGAACAGCTGAAGGCATCTCTGAAGTCTCTTGAGGAAGGTCTCACGCGGTTGAAAAGGAGCCAGTGCCACCAGCAGGAGAACATTATCGAATTAAAGGTGCAGCTGGGAAGTGGTGAGGGTTGGGACTTCCTGTTTAATGCTAAACCAAGTGTATCTTCTCTCTCTTCATCCCAGCAACTATTGCTTTCGATGCTACCATTTGTGGCTCATTCATTTAATATTAGGTGTTTCATAGTCAGCATTTAATCCAGGCTCCTGCAATTCAGTCCAAGGAAAAGAAAAGCATTCAAATCAACAATAAATGAATAAATATGCTGTAGTGTGGCATTCAAGTCGCCAAAGCAAGCCAGGCTAGCCTAATTTTAACGGTTTTAAATTTTAAATTGGATTTTAATGGGATGTTTTTAATTGTGGGCGAAATCAGGTTTTAAATTGTTCTTAACTTTTATATTTATGTATTTGATCTTGGCTGTTCACCGCTCTGAGTCCTTCGGGAGAAGGGCGGTATATAAATATAATTAATAAATAAATAAAGTTGTCAACCATGCATTTTTCAGGATATACCATTCTGTTCCCTCTTCCCCTAGGATTCTCAATTTAGTTTTAAACATTTAGAAGCACTGTGGTGCTCTAAGCTATGGACACTCTTACAATTAGAACTTTGTGTACCAATAAAAGGGAATATCTGTAGCTCAGTTTTGAAGGGTAGGGTCCTTGATGCTTTCTGAACTTGCTTGTTTTCTTGCAGATGTTTTGCTTTGCAACTAGCTAACGTTATCTGTTCTAGAAGGGAGTGGGATTTGCACTCCATTCTAGCACTGATGATATTACCTAGTTTGGTAATGAAATGTCTACAAAAAAACCAATCAAGCTCAGAGAGCAACAGTGTGTCTGTATGTAAATAAATGGAACTTTGTGTGCATTGTATGTACATCTGTGCATATATGTGTGCTGTCACTATATTATAAAAGCAAAAGATTTAAATTGCTGGTGTTGCTTAGGTAATCATTATAGTGGCATCGATTGATTCATTGATTATGAGTTACCTGACAGTGAAATGTCTGGCATATAAGTTTAATAAATACATAAAATAAATTATATGCTATCAAGTAGTTCTCAACTCCGAGCAAAACTGAGTTTCTCCATGACGATTCATCCCTAACCTGGTTTTTCAGATTTTCTAATGGTGCCCCCATTGCCACTATGTCCACCAGCTTTGCATTTGTTCTTCCTCATCTTCTTTTTCTTTCTATCTTTCCTAGTATTAAGAGTCTCCTTCAGAAAGTCTTTGCATCAGATGCCCGAAGTAGGCTGTTTTGAATCATTAGTGCTTCAAATAATAACTCAAATGAGTTGATTTGATGGTCTACTTATTTATTTCTTCATCGCTATGCAAGATATTCTCAGGAGTCTACCCCAAAACCAACACCATTGTGGACAGGTGATCATTTCTGTTTGACCCAACCACAACCTTTTGCTGTGCCCCATCTCTGTTTTTCCAGACCTGCTCCAAATCCTTGTCTGATCATATCTCTGGAGAGTTTGTGAAGATGCACCAGCTGCTGAACGACAGAGAGCTGGCTATAAAACAGGCCTTAGAAAACCAGCGAGAAAAGAACTTGGCTCAGATGGAAATCAAGTTAAAGGAACTGGACTACAAGATGGCTTCACATTCAGAAACTGTGTGCCGTGTACAGGCCAGCCTTGAATGCAAAGACCACATTAGTTTCCTTAAGGTAAGGAGGACCGGGGGCTGTGGGGTTTTCTTGGGAAGGAAAAAATTGCTGGGTGCATAGATTGCACCAAACCATTGTTAGAAGGATAATTTGGAGGTCCAACTTGAGCCGGGGTTGCACAAGGATAAATTAAAATGAGATTCAGACAGTTGTAAGGGAAGAAGAAATATTTATTTCTAAAAGCAAAACAATTTGATTTTAAGGGCAGGCTGCAGCAGCCTGGTGGCCCAGCAGACTAAAGCAGTGCTGTTAAAGCACTGTTATTAACATTCAGCTGCCTGCAATTACTGCAAGTTCGAATCTCACCAGGCTCAAGGTTGACTCAGCCTTCCATCCTTTCTAAGGTAGGTAAAATGAGGACCCAGATTGTGGGGGCAATAAACTGACTTCGTATAAATATACAAAAGTATGAAGGCTATTGCTTAACGCATTGTAAGCTGCCCTGAATCTCCAGAGAAGGACGGCATATAAATCAAATTTAAAAAAAAAAAAAAGGAGCAGAGGAGGGGTACAGTGGCAAACTTTTATAGGGGGAGTTTATCTGGGATGTGGAAGTGCTGAGGTGTATATGTGTGTTGGTGTATGTTTGTGAACATACAGTTCTGCTGGGAAACAATTTAGTTATCTCTATTTGCATTTGCAGACCTTATCCTTTGATATGTGGATTAGGCTTGGGGAACTTATTTTGTGGGTTGAGGCAGTTTGCTAATTTAATTAAGCTGGAGACACTGATTTTCAGACCGTTATAGGTTCTGTTAATATTTTTAAAGGAAGATGGAAACAGTATAAAGAATAAATATATATTTGGATATAAAACTTCTCACACCATGATTTGTTCAATTTAGGGTTTAGGGTTTGTCACGACTGACAAGATCTTTTTTTTTTAATCTTTGTCAGCCACCCAGAATCCCTGAGTCAGTTGGGTGGCCGAATCCATTTTCTTAAACAAATAAAATTAGGACTGATTTCCTGTAACAATTGCTAGATTCCACAGTGTTTGTTCATGTAAAAGAGAGATCGATCAGTACAGTATATGCACCATCACCTCGTGTTTTCAGTGGCATCTCAAGCACTCTGACTCTACAGTCCTCAATTTTTGTTTCTTCTATATATATATGTTGTGATTTTATTTCACTGGGATTTTTTTTTCTGATAAGTTAAAGTAGGACATGATCTACTGAGAACAGAATGTTGTGCACCATTAAAATGCAGAAAGCTTTGGCAGGAAAGTGAGTGATAACCCATGGAAAGAATTATTTTGATTATTATCTCACCTTTCTTTTCTTTTTCTTCTTTCTTTTCCTTCCTTCCTTCCTTCCTTTTCTCCCACAGGAGGCAAAAGAGTTGCTAGAGAGGTAAGTAGTGTTCCTCTTTTCTTATATATCAAATTACAGCCAAAGTTAGGATCAACATTTCCTTTCATAAGCAAGGTGGTTGTTAAATGTTGACCCCAACCTTTTTTTTTTTTTTGCCACCGTTGTTAAGTGAATCCAGCTTCCCCCATTGACTTTGCTTGCTCCAAGTCAGCTTGGAAGGTTGCAAATGGCCGTCACATGACCCCCCCCCCCCAACGCAGCAATTATGATAAATGCACACAGCTTGTCAAGCACCTGTATCCTGATCATGACCAACAGCTGTAAATGTGAGGATCGGTTGTAAATCACTCCTTTCAGCATTGTAACTTTGGTCTCTCAATGAATGGTTGCTAAGTCCAAGACTACCTATATAATAAATACATGAAAGGAAGAAAAACATGAACCAACAAGGAAGGCATCACATTACATTAGTTTGCCTCCTCACTGTAGGCATAATGGGCTTGGCTCGTGTCAGGGGCACCTATGGTGGCCCAGGCAGGGCTGGGGGGGATCCACTTTTGCTAATAGTTTATTTTGCTAGCACTCTGCCAGCGAAAACGGAGCTCGGGGGAGGGGGCCTGCGTGGCCACCCTGGGCTCCATTTTCGGCTGTGATGGCCTCTGCTGCCCTCTGCCAGTGAAAAGGGTCACTGTGTGCGGCCCTCCCAAGCTCCGTTTTCCCTGGCAGAGACACCGCGGGCCAGTCCTTTGTTGCTTCCAGGGCAGCCCGACGGGCCAGATCTAAACACCCTGTGGGCTGGCTCCGGCTGGCAGGCCTTGAGTTTGACACCCCTTGTTGTGGAGGAAATAAATCAATGTACCGTAAACCCTTATCTCTATTAAGATCTACTTTAACAAATGAGCCTCTGAAGCAGTTAACAAGAAATGTTTTTATTAATATAAAAACAAAACAATATCTATTCAAATACTAATTTATTTATTTATTTATTTTATTTATTAATAAATTAATACATTTATTAATAATATTTTATTAAAATAAAAATAAATACTAAATAGTATTTCATTACTATTCTTAAATATCCTGTCAGATAGATAGATAGATAGATAGATAGATAGATAGAGATATAGAGATATAGAGATATTTAGATGTGTTTTTCTTTTAGCCAGGTTTTTCCTGCGTAACCAAGGTTTTTCTGCAACCCTAGCTCAGTGGAGTCACATCCACTCGATTCTGGGCTTTTTTCTTTCTGGCAGCCAGCAGGCCCTTGCTGCCTAGTGAGAGACTTATATAGATCTATTTCTAGCTCATTAGCCATTATCAGTAAGCCACAGCCATATCTCATGTGGGTGTGACTCCACTGAGCTAGGGCTGCAGAAAAACCTTGGTTACGTAGGAAAAACCTGGCTGAAAGAAAAACACACATAAATCCTACGAAGAGTAAGAAAATAGATATTGTACCTTTACAGGGAGGATACATGAGATGTGGGTATGGCTTACTGATGATGGCTAACGAGCCAGAAATAGATCTATATAAGTCTCTCACCAGGCAGCAAGGGCCTGCTGGCTGCCAGAAAGAAAAAAGCCCAGAATCAGCGATGTTAGTTCTTTCTCAGAAGAAAAAGTCTGTAAACCATCAGAACTGCCCTTCTAACTGACTTTCAAACTGCTCACAGTTTTCTAACAGAAGAGCTGAACAGAACACTCCTAACTGCCAACTGCCCTTTGGACTGCCAATGGTTTCCTGTCAAGAATCTCCTTTTATACTGTCAACTGTGACAGTTAGGGGAGGGAACTATAAATAAAAGCCCTGGAGATTCAAACCCGTCAGCTGCCTTCTGATTGGCTTATTTACTTGTCCATTCCAAAAGCCATTAATAGGCACAGCAGCTGAGAAATAACTTTTCTCTCACACCCCTGATGCAGGGTATATTACTTTGCCTCCTCACTGTAGGCATGACTTCCTCTTCCACCTTTCAGAAGCTGCTGGATTTGCCAAAATGAGTAGGTGAAGCTCCTCCATGCAGTATACGGAAGGGAAGATGGCTACTTGTTTACTTCCATTAAAAAAAACCTGCTACAATTATAAAGTTGGCTCCTCTTCCTTCTTGGGAGTAGAGGCAAAGCAAGGCTGATTTCGCCACGAAAAGACTTTAATTGGGACGGAAAATGTTCTTCTGGCCCCTTGGCTCCTACCCATATTACTTGTAAAATCTCTGTAAAACTACAAAAAGAAAAAGTGGAGATTTTCCTGAGTGAGTCTTCACTTCTGATGATGACGTGGGCATTTTCTTGGCAATATTATGGCCATCGCCGCCTCCTGGTTTTTGCAACTTCCCTGGGAAGTATTCATCAGATCTGAATCTACCTAACTTTTTTGGAAGTCATCCTCTGTTGGCCTTGTGCTGTTCTCTGCTGTGATTATTTTAAAAATATATGGGTGCTTCTAATAAAACCTGATTTATGGAGCAGGAGATGTCCCAGGTGTAAATGTCTTCCAGTTCTAAATCCTCCCTCTTTCCTCCAATATTTTCCTTGTGTTTTTCCCTTTATTGCACAAAATCCATTAAAGAGGCAAAAAATTAATAATAGGGCAGCATCATTCTTTTTTTGATCAGAAATGCTCAGATATCTCTCTGTAGAAGGACCCCGATCTGATTCCTCTAGTTTTGATAGAATTGGGGCAGCTTATTCTAAAATGGCTGATCCTTGGGATGCTCTTCTCCTACAGGGTCCGTAAGGAACAAGGAGCTCCGGATGAACGCGAACTAGATGCTGCACTGGTAGGAGAAGATGGGCTGGAGGCCAGCAGTGAAGACACAGATGAGTATGAGAATGAGACTGATGAAGATTTTGATGAGGAAGAAGATGAAGAAGAGACAGCAGAGGAAGAAGAAAAGGAAAAGGAAGAGGATGAAGATGGAGTGGTGGCTGTAGATTTGAACCTGGGCGAGTTTAAAGGACCTCTGCAATTCTATGTCTGGAAGAAGCTGCTGGGTGAGCTACATCCAGGTGAGTTGAGGTTTTTAGACCAAATGTATTGGTTATTGGTTTATTACTTTTATACCCTATTTTTTGTGTGGAAGTTCAAGGCTATGTACTCCAGCAATAATCTGTAATGTGATGATGATGATGATGACGTTATCCATTCAGTCATGTTCAACTCTTGGTGATCCTATGGCCCAGTTCTCTCCACATCTTCCAATTTTGCACTGCTTCTCTGGTTCTTCTATGCTCTGGCTGGTGTCCAGCTTTGATGGTGTCGAGCCACCGTGTTCTTTGACTGCCTTGTTTCCATTTACCACTAATTCTTCTAAGTATAATTACTTAACTGCTCTAATTACCCTATTCTATACCGCGTTTCCCCGAAAATAAGACCCTGTCTTATATTTTTTGAACCCTGAAATAAGCGCTTGGCCTTATTTTCGGGGAGGTCTTATTATTTTGGGGCCCGTAGAGCAAGATGGGGCTCCTCTTGCTGTCTTATCTGATTTCCAGCTCCGTCTCCCTAACCCTAATCAGAGGAAATAGTGGGGACTGGCTGTGCATGCGTTTATATATTTTCGGGGGAGGGCTTATTTTCGGGGAAATTACACCATCATGTGGTCTGGGCTAAAAGAGAGAAAGGAAGCTTCAGACATGTTGAGGATGGCAGTAGCTTTATTAACAGCTGCCTAATATTACATTCATTTGTGTCTAATTTTTCTCTGGGCCACTTTATACTCCTGCAATAGCCTGCTGCACAAGTCCGTTCTCGTTCATTCTGAATTTCCATCTTCCTTCTCCAGTCCCTGCAAGCATCATTTTGGACCCCAACTCAGCTCATCCCAGGCTGGTCCTCATGGAAGAAGACACCAAAGTACAGTTCAATCTTAACCGACGGTTCTGGCTAGAAAACCTTCCGGAGACCTTCACTTACACACCGTGTGTGGTGGGACAGAAGGGCATTACCACTGGCCGCTTCTACTGGGAGATCGATGTCGGGGACAGCACCGATTGGATAGTGGGGATGGCCAAAAAGTCTGTGAAGCGCAAGAAGCAGCTGAACTTTCTGCCCAAGGAAGGGGTGTGGGCTATTGAGCTGAAGGCGGGAGAGTACCAAGCTTTGAGTGAGCCCCGTACGCCCCTCTCAGTCTGCGGGAAGATGGAGAAAGTTGGGATCTACTTGGACTTTGAAGGGGGGCAGCTCTCTTTTTACAACAGCAGCATGACCCACCTCTACACCTTCCAAGCATGCTTCCATGAAGAGATGCTCCCCTTTCTCAGCACTCAAAGCAGCTACCCCCTCTCGGTGTAGGACTTGGAGCTTTGAGATCTTAGCTCATGGTGTAGCATTGCAGAGAACAGCCTGGTGAAAGTTGAAAACATTGAGATGCATTAAGTCCATGCTATTCCCTCTTTGCAAGCAATCGCTCAAAGATTCGAAACTGGTCTGACCTGACTATTGTGGTCCATGATGGTTGTTCTAGGTGCAGAGACTGCTATAAGTGTAGCTTTCAAGTTGACCTTCTATTTCCCACATGCTTAATTTCCTTGACCCATTGACCGTAGTGAGGCTAGAGGTTGCCTCTGTCCACCTGTGGTGCAAGATTTTTTACCTGCTTTCAATGCATTTCACTGCAGGCAAAAACAATGAAGGCAAGCCATATTTTCTGCCCTTGGTTGGGAAGGCCTTAGTAGAGATGTTCAAATATTCCAATACTTAGTTGTGTTTGTATCTGTAACAAGTGATGATTTTCCTCATCACCCTATAATGCTGTAGGGCATTCCACATCAAAACAACTAGACACAAGGACAATTGTTTCTCCCCCCACCCCTCAATGCCATCATCATGCTAAACAACTAATTCCCACAACACTGTCTTATGCCCTGGGATCCCAAACCACCCAGTAGGACTGTATTACTATTATCCTTCTCATCTTTCCCATTTCCTATTCCTTTAGCATCTTATGACTCTAACTTTGTTGTTTATATCTCATGGTTTATACTGACTTCAGGAAAGAAGTTCATGCTGAAAATGATCTTCAGTGACATGTTCCACTTCGTGATCTTGTATATTGTCAGGCAGTGGTTCTCAATCTTTTCTTCACCACAGACTGCCTTTAAATACCTTTTGTGGCCACAGATCCCCAAGATTTAACTCAAGATTGAAATCATAACATTTCTTCAAGCCTTCACAGACCACCTGTGATATAGTTTGGTGCTCTGCAGTTGCTAAGAAAATTCTCAATGATGTCCTTAAATGCTTTTCAGGCCATGTTCTTCACTAACCTTCTAGCTTCACTAACCTTCTAGCTTCACTAACCAATTTTTGAACTGCTTGTCATTGATGAGGTATCTTAATAAATAATAAATCTCTCATCTGATCTGTGGACCAACTAAACTGCCTTCCTTAACTTCAGCATCAATTACTTTTGGAAACCTCTGTCTCAACCAAGAAAAACTTTCACCTTATCACTTTCACAAAATGTTTTATCAATCTGATTTTTATGTGGAGACAAAAATAACTTTTTCAGGTCAACAAGTGCCATGTCACTGGAGATTCTCGGTCATGCAGGTCACGGTTGTCCCAGAGGTGGTTTTTCAAGAGGCTGTTGAAAAAGTTGAGAGAGGGCGGATACATTTTGGAGAGAGAGGACCACTGCTCAAAAGAGTACTGAAAGAGGCCATCTATGTCAAACTTGAACAGCCCTCCCTCAACAGACCTAGGCTTACTGAGTCAGTACAAGACACAATTAGTCCCAAACAAACCTATTTTATTGTAACAGCTGAGAATTACGTTCATTCCCAGCTGAGTCCCAATTAATTGCAAAGCAAGTCCTTCGGAAGAAGTCCTTCAGGATAATCACCAACCTTTATCTTATCTACAATGCAGTCCTTTCAACAGTTCCAAGAAGGCTCCACATCCATTTGCACCACTCAGGTGACCCTGAGGACACAGACAAACCTCCAAGTGCTTCAAAGACCCTCTAAAACAGTGGTTCTCAACCTTCCTAATACCACGACCCTTTAATACAGTTCCTCATGTGGTGACCCCCAACCATAAAATTATTCCTGAAACCATTGAAAATATGTGTTTTCCCATGGTCTTAGGCGACCCCTGTGAAAGGGTCGTTCGATCCCCAAAGGGGTCCCGACCCACAGGTTGAGAACCACTGCTCTAAAAGAATGCAAATGACCAGCTGTCTACAAGGAATAGAAATCCTTCCATTCCCCTCCATCCAGTCAGAGCTGAAGAAGCGAAAAGTCTTCAAAGAAAAAACAGCCTGGTAGCCTCTTGAAAAAGCACCTTTGGGACAACAAGTGCCATGTTTTTTCTGTCCTGGAACCAAATTATTTTGGAGTGGCCATTTCTTTTTAATGTAATGCAGCTCTCCTGCATAGCTGTCCCATTTGCATGTATGACGTATTTGGCCTATCTCAGCTGCCTCTATTTCTGGATCTCAACAGATATTCCAATTGTGCTTGATATGCCAGATGTGTTTTAAGAACAGTTCTATATTTTTATGTTTCTTTTGTGTGTGCAGCACAGACCACAGATCATGAAGAGTATATGATGTCATTATATAACAACAGAATATTTCTACAAAGCAATATGTGATAGGTTACAGGGTTTTTTTCCTGATTAACAGCCAGAAAGAAAGTGCAGCATGAAAAATTTGGCAGTCAAAGTATGTAATTAGATAATAGATATTTCCAATATATACGAATTGAAGCAGTAGAGTCAGCGACATAAACATTAAAAACTGATAGAGAAAAAAAAACCCAGAACTCTTAGATTTGGGTTTTCCCAGATGTGCCAGTATAACTGTTCTAATAAATGGAACTTTGAAAAATGCCTGCCTCGGAGTTTTTACTTGGAGTTGGGGACTTTCTGGAATGCTGACAGACATGTTAATCTGTTGGACCTAGAATTGACAAGGCATCTCCAGATAGAAGAGTAGGAGACGATCTTCCACTCAAGGATTTTGAAGCAGTCTACTTACTGCCCAATATGTTTGGGTTCAACAGAAGAGTAGCTCAAGCGTTGTACGGTGAAGATGTTACCCAGTTGGGTAATGAAATGTCTGCAAGGAAACAACCAAGATCAGGGAGCACCAAGGACTCCAGGTTTGCTTGCCTATGTTTTCCACCAGAAAAAAAGAGAAGAAAATGCAATAATCAAAAAGAGGAATGGCTATATACTGTAAAAGGAAAGAAATTGTGTATTTATATATTAAGTCAAAATAAAAATGACCAACCTGAATTTTACTCGACATCATGTCCATGCTCCGGCAGAACATGGATACCCGGCTGGAAGGGGGGGGTTGAGCCACATGGGTGATGGTGGTGGAATAGGCTTCCGAGTAGGCGTTTATGTGCACGGGTGCCTTATGGGGTCGCGTGGGATTAGCTTACTACTCTGAGAACACTCTAGAAATGTGACGGCATCCCAGTACGTCCGAAGGAAATGAGGAAGTACGAGACCTTCCAGCTGAAGGTAATCTGGAAGGAACTATATAAGGACTCGCTTGCAAGGGCGTGACAGCTGCGTCTTTGTTTTGCTAGCTTTGCATTCCGGTTTCTGTAAGCGCTGATTGCCACGATTAAATGAAGATACACCAGCTTAGCTTCAAGCGTGTTCTTTGAGCGTGGACACAGTCCTAGGGGAGCCGAGAGGAAGACGCAGCTCCCCCTTTTCACAAGCCGTTTTGGAGCCACCACCACCCCCCCGTGAAGGAAGGAACGGGATGGCAGAGGGCGTAGCGGCCGACGTGCTGCCGGAGGATACAGCGGAGACCGTGGGCGAAGCGGAGGAGGAGGCTGACGCCGGGATGGATGGGGCGGCCAGCCCGCCGGTGGTGCGGCCGAAACAGCATGAGCCCGGGGTCGAAGGCGCCCCTAGTGAACGAAAGGAACGCGAACGCAACGCCCGGGAGACGCCCGGCCCAGAGACAGGTGGGATGCGTCTTCAAACCCCGCCCTATGCCGATTCCCAGTTCCGGGATTGGAGGGAACGGCGATGGCTGGAAGACGAGGAAGGGGAATGGAGCCACTCCACTGGCCTGGGGCCTTCCACCCTAGAGATCCTACGCGACCGTTTTGGCGAGGCGAGCTTTCGCGACGCGCCCTCCTGGCAGCCATGGGCGCCCAGCATGGAGGGCGCCACCTCCTGGTCGGGAGGCGGTACGGCGGGTGGGAGTTCTGACAGCAAATTCCGCCTTGCCAGCCCGAAGCTGAAGTTGGAGGGGCGTGAACAACGCTGGGTGAGTGGAGAGCGGAGACAGGCTGTACATTCATACGGTGGGGGCGAGGGCAGCCACGCAACTCCCGGTGCCGCTACACAGCCCGGGAGAGAGAGGAGAATAGATCCCGTGAGAGACGCCCCTCGACAGCTACCCGGCACAGGAGATAGGCCACCACAACAGCGTTACAGAGACCCGCTACCGGCATGGGGCCACGGTCCCTGGGCACCCCCCCTCCAGCAACATCCCTGGGGATTACCGCCTGTGCAGGCTACATTTGATGGAACTGCAGGAAAGGTGGCACTGTTCCTGAGTCAGGTAATAAGCCATATGGACCTTTATGGCAGATTATATCCTTCGCAGTGGTCCATGGTCGTGGCGGTCACAGCAGTGCTAACGGGGGAGGCAGCTGAATGGGTCGCCGATTTACATAGTGAACACGCCCGCGAGTTAACGGATCTGGGCCTGTTCCTTGAAGCATTACGCAATAGGTTCGAGGATGAAACTCGGACCCAGGTCATCGAAGGTGAATTGGTCAACCTACGACAGCGTGGTCGCCCTGCCAAGGATTATGTCAAGGAGTTCCGTAATCTGGCAGGAAAACTCCATTCGTGGCCAGAGCGATTACTTATCCACCAATTCCAGGCAGGGCTAGATAGAGAAATAAAACAGGCCTGTGTATACCGGGGTCTAGGCCCACGATTGTCCGAATGGTACAAGGCAGCGGTGAGCCTAGACGTTGGTTTACGAGAATTCAGGCCTCGGAACACACCACCATTCCAGTCCCGTCGTGGTCCAGGTGGCAGATCCAGTGACCGCGGGGCGTTTAGAGGAACCCCGGCATACGGGCCGACCGCTACCGAGGCGAACAGACGCCCGTTCCGGTGCTTTCGATGCAACCAAGAGGGTCATAGAGCTGCGGACTGCCCCGTCGCAGCCCCGCGACTGTCAACTCCCCGGCCATCCGTTCCGACTACCACGCCACGTGACCGATCCCTACGAACACCAGAACGCTCTAGGGTGGCCACACAGACGCCCTCGTTAGAACCGACAACCCGGTCCAGTAATACCATGCCAGGGACGGCTCGTGTCCCCGACGCATCCGAAGAAAGCGACAACGGAGATGAGTTGCAGGATCCTATGGTAAGTGACCCTGTACACCCCTTCCTGATACCAGTGACCCTTAGACATCCTATCACTAAGAAGGAGTGTGAACAAAAAGCCTTAATTGATACAGGCTGTACTCGATGCCTTATGCGGCAGTCGGTAGCTGAGGGCCTGGGCCTTCGGATCCTGACTCTTCGTACCCCCATTAAATTCGAGCAGATGGATGGGTCCATCCTGGGAGGCACACCTACCGCCAGTGTTACAGAACCCGTATTCCTGCAAATAGGAGCCCATCAGGAAATGATCCGGTTCATTGTAGTAACCCAGATGATCGAACCCATCATTCTTGGGCTCGCGTGGTTGGACAGGTGGGAACCACACATATGGTGGGAGGGGGGTTATCGTAGGCTCAGACTGCCATGTACAAAAGAGAGGGTGGCTCTCCAGCAAGAAACAACAAGACAAGGTACATACCCCCAAGCATATAATGACCTCGCCCGAGTATTTAGCGAGGAAGAATGTGACATCCTGCCCCCCCATCGGGATACGGATTGTGGTATCGAAATACTTCCCGGAGCCCGGTTACCAAAACCCCGTATGTACTCGATGACACCACAGGAACTGAAGGAATTGCGAACGTATATAGATAAAAACCTGGCCCGGGGATTTATTCGTCCCAGTCGTTCGCATTTAGCGGCACCCGTCCTCTTTCGAGGTAAGAAGGATGGCGGCTTACGTTTATGTGTTGACTACCGGGGATTGAATGCTGTCTGCGTAGAACCGTTGTACCCCCTGCCGCTGATAACTGATTTGTTGGCTACCCTGGCGTCAGGGAAAATCTTCACGAAATTGGACCTCCGCGAAGCCTATTATCGGGTACGGATACGTCAGGGAGACGAGTGGAAAACCACATTTAACACTCCCCTCGGCAGCTACCAGTTCCTGGTGATGCCTTTCGGTCTACAAGGGGCACCAGCGGTGTTTATGCAGCTTATAAACGGTATTTTACATGAACACCTATATCGGGGCGTCTTAGTCTATCTGGACGACATTTTGATCTACTCTGATACAATGGAAGAACACGTCCAGCTGGTTAGACAGGTCCTGACCAAGTTGCTGGACGCACATCTTTTTGTAAAACTCTCAAAATGTGAGTTCCACCAGGAGGAGATCGATTATCTAGGTTTTCGAATTAGTCGTACTGGTATCCAGATGGACCCGAAGAAAGTAGCTGCGGTCTTAGAGTGGAAAGCTCCGCAAACCCGTAAACAACTGCAAAGTTTTTTAGGTTTTGCAAACTTTTATCGACATTTCATTCCGTCCTTTGCAAAAACAGCATTACCATTAACGGAGCTATTGCGAACAAAAGGTGTGGTGGCCCCTGGGAAAAAACCTAGGCCGGGATACAAATTACAATGGTCATCTGAATGCCAACAGGCCTTTGAAAATCTTAAACGGGCTTTTGCCACTGAACCCGTATTGATACACCCTAACACGTCACAACCGTTCGTAATACAAGCGGATGCTAGTGACGTGGCAGTAGGAGCTATTCTAATGCAGAAAGATGCGAACGGTATGTTAAGGCCTTGTGCATACACCTCCCGAAAATTTACAACCGCAGAAAGGAACTGGGCAGTGTGGGAGAAAGAGGCCTATGCTGTAAAATGGGCGTTACAGACATGGCGGCACCTACTGGAGGGCAATCCCATACCGTTCGAGGTCTGGACGGATCACAAGAATCTACAGGCCCTCCAAACACCTCGGAAACTGTCCCCAAAACAGGTGAGATGGGCACAATATTTTCAGCGGTTCCGTTTTGCCCTCGTGTATAAGCCAGCTAGAGGAATGTTTTTAGCGGATGCGTTGTCACGGATGCCGCAATATCACAGTAAACGAGATGAGGGTTTACAAGCAGTAATCTCACCCCTAAAAGCGTATGTATTGACAGCCCCGCAGACCGAGGATTGGCTCACGCTTTTACGGAAAGCCATTCGGACGGACGCATGGGCACAAAACAATGCAGCATCCCTGACCCACCGTGATGGCCTAGCGTGGTGGGGAGATAAACTCTATATTCCAGCAACATTGAGACAACGAGTGTTACTCCAGTGCCATGATAGGAAAACCGCCGGACACTTCGGGTTCCTTAAAACCCTACATCTGACGCGCAGACAATTCTGGTGGCCTAAAATGAGGAAAGACATTGACCAATACGTCCGGGGATGCCACACATGCGCGGTATCCAAGCCACAACCAGGGAAGCCACTGGGCTTATTACAAACCGTAGCCGAACCAAACAGACCATGGGAGGAAATAGCCATGGATTTCATTGTAGACCTTCCCAGTAGCAGAGGTTATACCGTTATTTGGACAGTAGTCGATCTTTTCTCAAAGCAAGCCCACTTTATTCCATGTAAAGGCTTACCCTCTGCCCGACGCCTGGTACGTTTATTCCTACAACATATTTACCGTTTGCATGGAGTGCCTAAGAGGATAATATCAGACAGAGGGGTACAATTCACCGCCCGATTCTGGAGAGGGTTTCTCCGTGATATAGGGTCAACCCAGGGCCTTAGTTCAGCCTATCACCCTAGTACGAACGGTGTTGCTGAACGCACGAATGCCATGATAGAACGATACTTACGCTCCTACGTTACCTACCAACAAAACGATTGGGTTGATTACCTTCTATTTGCTGAAACGGCATACAATAACGCAGTACATCGGAGTACCGGATTTACTCCGTTCCGGGTAGTCATGGGGAGGGACTTCCCTGCTATCCCGGAGTTAGACCTTTCCCTCCAAAAACCTATGACTCCCAATGACTGGGCTACTAACGTGAATGCTGTGTGGCCTCACGTAAAAACCGCTTTGACACGGGCAGCTGATGAATACAAGCACCAGGCAGACAAAAGGAGGGCTACATGTCCATCTTTTCAGATCGGAGACCTGGTTTATTTGTCAACAAAATACTTAAAGCTACGATTACCAAGTAAAAAACTAGGACCCAAATATATAGGCCCATTTCCTATCATTAGAGTAATTAACCCCATAACATTCATGCTAAAACTACCCCCCTTATTGGGAAAGACCCATCCGGTATTCCACTCTAGCTTGTTAAAACCGGCCACTGCACCCACTGCAACACCAAAACCACCTCCTGGCCCGGTAACCGGTGCCCACTATGAAATACAAGACATCATCGATTCCAAACTACGTAGAGGCCAGTTATACTATTTAGTCCGCTGGACAGGGTATCCTGATAGTGAAGCATCCTGGGTACCTGTAAAAGACATAAACGCCCCTAGATTACTGAGAAAGTTCCACAAAGCAAACCCCCAGAAACCACATCCCTTACCTGACCATTAATATCATCTCTTTTTGTCTCCTCCTCTTAGACGGACGCCTGGTAGGGGGAGCCGCCTGTCGAGCGTCAAGAAGCACTCGACATCATGTCCATGCTCCGGCAGAACATGGATACCCGGCTGGAAGGGGGGGGTTGAGCCACATGGGTGATGGTGGTGGAATAGGCTTCCGAGTAGGCGTTTATGTGCACGGGTGCCTTATGGGGTCGCGTGGGATTAGCTTACTACTCTGAGAACACTCTAGAAAAGTGACGGCATCCCAGTACGTCCGAAGGAAATGAGGAAGTACGAGACCTTCCAGCTGAAGGTAATCTGGAAGGAACTATATAAGGACTCGCTTGCAAGGGCGTGACAGCTGCGTCTTTGTTTTGCTAGCTTTGCATTCCGGTTTCTGAAAGCGCTGATTGCCACGATTAAATGAAGATACACCAGCTTAGCTTCAAGCGTGTTCTTTGAGCGTGGACACAGTCCTAGGGGAGCCGAGAGTTTGCACCAAAATGAACAGTAGATGCTTTTCAAACAGGATACAATGATAGACAAATTAGAGTATGTCCATGTGACATGCTTTCACATATAGTATGTAGACACATGGATACAGTACATGTACATATCAGGGATCATCATCATCACCACCATGTTTATTGCAACTCTCGTAAGTTAGCTATCCTCACGTCTCTACGTAGACCTATAAGATCTAGGTCACAAAAATCCAGATAACATTCAAAATAGCAGCAAAGCCCTAAGTTTTCGCCTTCCCTAAAGATGCCTTTTTAAAGATTTGTCCTTATTTCCAGCAGGAACTTTAATAATAAATTCTTTTGCTTTTGTCCCCGATTTGCTATCTTGACTACTCTTTTATTATGCTTCCTGGCCCCACAGAACTTTGGAAAGCAATTATACATAAATGACCCAGACTTCATCTGTTGATCTATCTTTCAGGATAATACAATAGCACTTATATAGCGCTTCCTAGTGCCTTACAGCCCCCTCTAAGCAGTTTACCGAGTCAGCGTGTTGCCCCTAACAGCTTGGGTCCTCATTTTACTGACCTCGGAAGGATGGAAGGCTTGAGCCAATCTTGAGTCAATCAGGGTCAAACTACTGGTAGTGAGCTGAATTAGCCTGCAATACTGCATTCTAACCACTGCACCACCACTGCTCTTAATGCTCTGAAAATCAAAATAAAAGGGAGAGTGAAACCAGAAACATAAAGATGGAATTTGAAAATGGACAGGTTCTGGAGCATTGGAGTAAGCCACGGTGGAACAGTGATTGGAATCCAGTACTGCAGGCTAATTCTGCTGACTGACTGACTGCAATTTGGCAGATCGAATCTCACCAGATTCAAGGTTGAGTCAGCCTTCGATCCTTCCAAGGTGGGTAAAATGAGGACCCAGATTGTTGGGGGCAATATGCTGGCTCTGTAAACCACTTAGAGAGGGCTGTAAAAACACTGTGAGTCTATTGCTATTTCAGAAGGCTCAGCTGAGTGGGAGATGGGGTTATAGCTTGGGATGCTGCCAACTGCTCAAAGATCCCCTACCTTCTGTAAGAAATAATTACACACCTCCCCCCCCCCAGAGAATGAAATATTTTGGGGAATATCAAAAGAGTCAGAATATTATATTTCCCCAAAGGAGAAATGGAGAAACATGCTCTTAAAGGCAGAAAGCAGCCCCAGTTTTCTGCATAGTAAAAGAGCCCCCAGCAGATGCCTGAACTCTTTAGAAATGATTATTTTGTGTCCATTCAGGAAGATTGGGCCAATCTATTCACAAACAAATCACCTTCAGCTCCAGTTGATAGGATTAAGAATTTGCATTCCGCCACCCAAACTCTTAAGGACAGGACTTGATAATAGGATTAACCCACCACCATTGAAATAGCAAAAGATACAAAAACCTCTTCATTGCACAATCCCAAAAACAATCAAAACTTTAAAGTCACAGAAACCTATTAAGATCCATCCACTCCTTCAGCCAATTTGTCAGCTGTCCCAGAATTTGATATCTATTGCTGAGCACATTGTAAGCCGCCCTGAGTCTTCGGAGAAGGGCGGCATATAAATCAAATTAAAAAAAAAAAAAAAAGAAACTACTTGCTGTTGTTGGTTCTGCTCATCAATAAACAGAGTCCTTCTTTCCAATCAGCCTCCATTTTATTTCTTTTCTTTTTTAAAAAAAATATTTTTATTAAACAATTTTTTTAAAAAAACAAAAAAAAACAGATATTTACATCTTTTTCTTTTCAACATCTTCACATCAGTGATCCATATTTATACATTTTCTCTTTCTTATCTTAATATATCTTTTATACATATATTTCTAGTATATCATATATATACCTTTATAATATATTCTATCATTCTAGTTATTTTATTTACATTTAACATAAACATGTACCTCATTTTCTTTCCACAATTTTTACATCTTCCCATTTATTTCTATATTTCCTCACCTAATTTAATCATTATTTAGTCTTCCTTTGTCCCCCTTTCCCCCCCTTTCTTCCAACCGTCTATACCATTTCTCCCAGACTAAGTAATATTCTGTTTCATCTTTTTCTTGTACCTCCTTCGTGAGTTTATCCATTTCCGTACACTCCCCAATTTTTCTAATCACATTGTCTTCTGATGGTACGTCATTGTTTTTCCAGTTTTGGGCAAAAACTATTTGTGCTGCTGTAATTATGTGAATGATTAACTATCTTATTTCTTTTTCATATGGCCCAGTAATTATTCCCAGTAGGAAAGTTTCTAGCTCATTTTATTTGTTGATTTATAATTTCTTCTATTTGTGTTTTAATTATTTGCCAAAATTGTTTTGCCTTATGGCAAGACCACCACATATGATAATAAGTTCCTTTTTGGTGTTTACATTTCCAACATAACGGAAGCCTCCATTTTATTTCTAGCACCTCTCTCCCAGATTGGAACCAGACGAAATTTTTCTTCCTACACTTGTTACTAATTTAATACCTGCAGTGATTCATTTAATTATTGTGGCAAGAAAAATTGTAAAATGGAGCAAAACTCACTTAAAAAATGTCTCGCTTGGCAACAGAAAACTTGGTCTCAGTTGTGCTCATAAGTTGAGGACCACCTGTATCCATTTCAGGAAAGGATGAGAAAATGATAATTATATATACATGGGTAATAGAAAATGTACACATGAATATTCACAATTAGCAAATCTCAAATTACTTTCCCATCCACCCACTCTTACTGTTCTCAAGAAAGAGTTATTGTCTTAATAATAAAAAGAAATGTATTACTTGTCATAGAGGTTTTGATAAGGATTTCGAGAAGCAAGGCCTCAGTTAACACACATTCCTTCTATCTTGTTAAGATGTTCAGGAATTTGTTTTCCTCACAACCCTTAGGACTATGAAATTATTCTTCCGATTATCTTTTCATTCATCTGTCGATTCTTGCAAGAGATCCACACCAGACCAAAAACCTGAGTTCTGTGGTTGCATAGGAAAGAACTGGGGATGCACAAATAATTTGAATGATTTAATTCAGAATTATTCCTTTCTTATTTCAAAGTAAGAAAATGTTTCTTTAAAAAAGGGGGGGGGGGCTTCATGGCCATTAAATATTCTTCAAATGAAGAAGGCTGGAATAATCGTTTCAAACGTTTAATCGTTTTCCTGAAGATTGTGTCAGCTGCCACCTTATGTTTGCTTGTACTTCAGGGACAAACTGCCATGAATTGTGGGGAGGGAGGAGGGAGGAAGGCAAGGGGGAAAACGAAAGTTAAGTTTCAGAAGCAGGGAGGAAAGTAGGGAAACGAAAGTTAAGTTCTGCATCTCCTGCATATCTTCCTGTACACAACTGGACATTACAAAAACATTCTACCTGAACTTGATTGGTCGCACGGGGTGGGTGATGGGAGGGGAAGATTAAACGTGGGGCTTTTGCATTCGATGCCTTTCCTGCAACACCCTTCGCATAAAGCCCTGCCTTTCTCAACAGATGGAGCCGAGGATGGCTTTTATTTAGAGGTTTAAGTGGCGGCAGGTCTTACACATTGAGCGGTTTCCCCACCCTGCAGTGGCCTGTGAGAATCACCTGGAGGAAGAGGAGGAAGAGACGCAGCCCAGACAACGGTGAGGTAAGTAATTCCTGTGTGCAAAATAGGAATGCAATTGGAGAAAATGTCTCAGGGTTTCTCCTTCCTGGTTTAGTTTAGGATGAAGGCAGGAAGCGCCTTCAGACTCTGTTTCTGTAACCTTGTAAGAAAAGTAGTTTTAGTGTTTTTGTGACTTTGGTGTTCAAGGCGGATCTGTCCAGGATGGCAGACACCCCTTCGCCTCAGTCTTCCAGTACGTGAAGGCAGTGGTGGGATTCAAGTGATTGAACAATCGATTCTCTGCCCTAATGATTTCTTCCAACAACCAGTTTGCCAAACTGCTCAGAAAGTTAACAACCGGCTCTCCCGAAGTGGTGCGAACTGGCTGAATCCCATCACTGCTTGAGGGGCTGTACAAGAGAGGGTTGACTTATTCTCCAGAGCAGGACAAAAAGTAACAGATGGAAACTTGTCAAAGGAGAGATCCAACCTAGAATTACGGACAAAATTCCCGACAGAACAACTAACCAGTGAAATGCTTGCCTTTTCAAAAGGTGTGGGCGCTCCATCGTTAGAGGTTTTAAAGAAGAAATTGGACAGCCATTTGTCTGGAATGGTATAGGGCCATGATGGCGAACCTGTGGCACAGGTGCCAGAGGTGGCACGCAGAGCCTTCTCTATGGGCACGCACACTGTCGCCAGCTGCTCTTCTGGTTTCCGGTGTGCACATGCGCACCAACCAGCTGGTCTTCACAGGCGCTGCAGCACCGGAAAATGGCCAAAAACCAGGCTGTTTTTTAGTCTGTTTTCGGGCCTTTTTTGGGCCGTTTTCCAGGCCCAAAACAGCCAAAAAACAGGCATGCGTACGCCAGCCAGCTGGTCTTTCGGTTTCCAGCACTCCAGCATGCACACATGCACAAACATGCACGTGTGTTCTGGTTTGGGCACTTGGTGCCGAAGACGTTCGCCATCACTGGTATAGGGTCTTCTGCTTGGGCAGGGGGTTGGACTAGAAGACCTCCAAGGTCCCTTCCAACCCTATTATTCTTTGTTCAGTTAACAGGCAGAAATAGAAGCAGTTCTAACCTGGGAAATCTGTTCAGGCTCTCTTCATTTTTTTTTTTTTTGAATTTGATTTTTATTATAACATATAGTGATACAATCGGTACATTTTCGGTTCATTGGTGCAATTATATACATATATACATCTACATGCATTATTGCTTGTCTTTTGTTGATATTGTTTCTTGAAGCTAGATTTAATTTCAATACACTTAAAGATAATAGTGCTCAACTCTCTAAGACTAAATATAATACTATTCATATAGATTTTGTTAATTAGTTAATATTTAATCTCTATTACCTTCTTTATTTCTTTCCCCCATCCATTCGTACCACATGTCCCACACGCTATAAAATTCTGAATCTTCTCTGTCATTAATTTCTGAAGTCAATTTGTTCATTTCGGCGCACTCCAATATTTTTCCAATAACATGTTCTTGAGGTGGTATTTGTTTTTCTTTCCAATACTGGGCAAAGGAAGTTCTAGCGGCTGTCAGAATATGTATAATTAAATACTTTTTCTTTTTTGCATATTCAGTTTTCAAAATTCCCAGAAGAAAAGCTTTTGGGTCGAAATCAAAATTTTCTTTTATTATTTCTCTAATCCACACCCATATCATCCTCCAGAATTTTTGTGCCTGATTACATGTCCACCAGCAATGATAAAAAGTACCCTGCTGATGGTCACATTTCCAACATTTAGGGCTCGAATTGGGGTAGATCTTCGCTATCCTAGCTGGGGCCATGTGCCATCTATAAAACAGCTTGTATTGGTTTTCCTTATAAGCCGTCGCCTTTGTCATTTTAAGATTATTATTCCATATTGAGTCCCATTCGTTCAGATTTATATTCTGTCCTATATTTTTGGCCCATGCTAACATCGGTTCTTTAACTACTTCCTCTGCCATATCGTACTCCAATAAGTAATTATATAATTTAGCTAGAATTTTGTCGTCCATACCCATCCATATCTTGTCGAATCCATTTATGCTCATTTCAATGCCAAATTCCTCCTTATCTTTTTTATATCTGGATTTAATTTGGTTATATGGCCACCAGTCTATAGAAATACCTTGTTCCATCAATTCTTCCCTTGTTTTAAGGTTCCCTCCCCCATCTAATAATTCATAATTCAACATGGCTTCAGTACGGGAAGTGTCCAGTTTCACCGAAGACCTGCTGTGCCCCATTTGCCTCTGCCTCTTTCGGGAGCCCCGCATGCTAAAGTGCGGTCACAGCTTCTGCGCTTCCTGCCTGAAGCCCTGCATCCCCAAAGGGCAAAGACGGGGCCTCTGCCCCGAATGCCGTCGCCCCTTCACTTTACGCTGCATAACGATCAACCGAGCCCTCTGCAGCTTGGCCGAGAAGGCCCAGCTTCTGAAACTGGATGAAGGGACTCAGCAGAGTGACACCGGAGGCTGGTTCTTCTGTAAGGAACACGAGGAGCCTCTCAAGCTCTTCTGCAGCCAAGATGGGGAGCCCGTTTGCGTCATCTGCCGGGACTTGCCTCAGCACCGGGGACATGACTTCCTGCCCATCAAAAATGCGGTTCAGACTTATCAGGTGAGAACCGGACCTGAGAGGAGAAAGAAGGTGGCCTCTGGTTGAACAAGACACACTCGCTCTCTGTCTCTCTCACTCTTGCTCATCTCTCTCTTGATTTGTAAAATGTATTTGCCACTTACCTCACAATGGGGCTGGTGAGATAAGCCTCTGGTTGAACAAGACCCTTTCTCTCCCCCTCTCCCTCGTCTGTCTTTTTTCTCTCAATTTGAGAGAAAATTTGAGATGAGCCCTGTTATTAACATCAAGCTGCTTGCAATTACTGCAAGTTCAAATCTCACCAGGCTCAAGGTTGACTCAGCCTTCCATCCTTTCTAAGGTAGGTAAAAAAAAAATTTTTAAAAAAAAAATAAATTGTGAAATTTATTTGCCACTTATCTCACTGGGAGGCTACTCGAGGCAGCTTATTTTGCAAGCCAAGATAAAATACAAGTATCATATATGAATCATAAGTATCATAATAAACAAGGACACTGAAACAAAGCTTTTGAAACCTCCCAAATATTTACCAGTAAATATAAGCTAGATTTCCACTCTGAAACGCATGGAGAAACACTAATATCATACTGAATCTGTATCTCGCATATATGCAATTCATTTCCCACTTCCTGAAGATTGACCCTGGAAACAGCGAAGGAGTGGCCTGTGGACCTCTGCCAGTGAAAACGGAGCTTGGAAGGGTTGCATGCAGCCTTTCCGAGCTCCGTTTTTGCTGGCAGAGGGTTGCAGGAGGCCATTGCAACTAAAAACAGAGCTTGGGAGCCTGTTTTTGCTGGCAGAGGGTTCGGGCCACCTGACGTGAGTGACATTAAACTGGCCATGCCTTCGGCCACCCCCCCCCCCTGCTCCCAGGTCAAACAAAACCCTGAACTAAGCCATTATGGACTGGTTAGTTTCAAGGCACTGTTTAGATCAGGGGTCACCAATCTTGGCAACTTTAAGACTTGTGGACGTCAATTCCTAGAATTCCTCAGCCAGCAAAGGAACTCTGGAAGTTGAAGTCCACAAGTCTTAAAGTTGCCAAGATTGGAGACCCCTGGTCTAGATCAATGTTTTTCAATCTTAGCAACTTGACTTGAGTTGTGTGGACTTCAACTCCCAGAATTCCCCAGTCAGCAAGATTAAAGTTGCTAAAGTTGAGAAACACCAGTCTAGGTTGATCAATTGGTTGATTATGCACCATCAAGTCGTTTTCGGTCCTGTTGACCACATAGAGAGATTTCTAGCTTGACCAAGCCCTTACAGAAAGTGGCTGTGGAAGCTGGGACAGGTAGTTCTCGACTTACAACCATTCGTTTAATGACTGTTCAAAGTTACAACGACACAAAAAAGTGACGTGACCGTTTTTCAACTTTGTCTTCCTTTCAGGAGCAGCTGAAGGCATCTCTGGAGCCTCTTGAGGAAGGTCTCAGGTGGTTGAAAAGGAGCCAGTGCCACCAGCAGGAGAACATTATTGAATTAAAGGTGCAGCTGGGAAGTGGTGAGGGTTGGGACTTCCTGTTTAATGCTAAACCGAGTGTATCTTCTCTCTCTTCATCCCAGCAACTATTCCTTTCGATGCTACCATTTGTGGCTCATTCATTTAATATTAGGTGTTTCATAGTCAGCATTTAATCTGGGTTCCTGCAATTCAGTCCAAGGAAAAGAAAACTTACCTACTTATTTGATTCACATTCAGATCAACAAATAAATAAATATGCTGTAGTGTGGCATTCAAGTCACCAAAGTTGTCAACCATGCATTTTTCAGGATATTCCATTCTGTTTCCTCTTCCCCCGTGATTCTTAATGTAGTTTTAAACATTTAGAAACACTGTGGTGCTCTAAGCTACCATAAAGAACTCTCGCAATTAGAAATTTGTTTGCTGATAAAAGGGAATATTTATAGCTCAGTGTTGAACGGTGGGGTCCCTGGTACTTTCTGAGCTTGGTTGTTTTTTTGCAGATGTTTCACTACTCAACTAGGTAACATCAACAGTTCTGGAAGGGAGTGTGATTTGCACTCCGTTATAGCACTGATGATATTACCTAGTTTGGTAATAAAACATCTACAAAAAAAACAATCAAGCTCAGAGAGCAGCAAGGATCCCACAGAACTTTGTGTGTCTGTGTATGTAAATAAATGGAACTTTGTGTATTTATATATATGTCTGTGCGTATATGTGTGCTGTCACTACATTATAAAAAGATTTAAATTGCTGGTGTTGCTTAGGTAATCATTATAGTGGTTTCGATTGATTGATTATGAGTTACCTGACAGTGAAATGGCATACAAGTATAAAAAATACATAAATTATATGCTATCAAGTAGTTCTCAAATCCGAGCAAAACGGAGTTTCTCCATGATGATTTATCCCTAACCTGGTTTTTCAGATCTTCTATTGGTGCCCCCATTGCCACTATGTCCACCAGCTTTGCGTTTGTTCTTCCTCATCTTCTCTTTCTTTCCATTTTTCCTAGTATTAAGAGTCTCCTTCAGAAAGTTAAGTCTTTGCATCACACGCCCGAAGTAGGATGTTTTGAATCATTAGTGCTTCAAATAAGAACTCAAATGAGTTGATTTGTTTGATGGTCCACTTATTTATTTCTTTATCGCTATGCAAGGTATTCTCAGGAGTCTACCCCAAAACCAACACCATTGTGGACAGATGATCATTTCTGTTTGACTGAACCACAACCTTTTGCTGTGCCCCATCTCTGTTTTTCCAGACCTGCTCCGAATCCTTGTCTGATCATATCTCTGAAGAGTTTATGAAGATGCACCAGCTGCTGAACGACAGAGAGCGGGCTATAAAACAGGCCTTAGAAAACCAGCGAGAAAAGAACTTGGCTCAGATGGAAACCAAGTTAAAGGAACTGAACTGCAAGATGGCTTCATGTTCAGAAACTCTGTGCCGTGTACAGGCCAGCCTTGAATGCACGGAACACATAAGTTTCCTTAAGGTAAGGAGGACCATGGGCTGTGGGGTTTTTTCTTGGGAAGAAGAAAATTGCTGGGTGCATAGATTGCACCAAACCATTCTTAGAAGGATAATTTGGAGTTCCAATTTGAGCCGGGGTTGCACAAGGATAAATAAAAATGAGATTCAGACAGTTGTGAGGGAAGAAGAAATATTTATTCCTAAAAGCATAACAATTTGATTGCTTAACGCATTCTAAGCCGCCCTGAGTCTCCGAAGAAGGGTGGCATATAAATCAAATTCAAAAAAAAAAGGGAAGGCTGCAGAGGAACGGGGTACAGTGGCAAACTTTTATAGGAGGAATTTATCTGGTATGTGGAAGTGTTTACGTGCTGAGGTGTATATGTGTGTGGGTATATGTTTATGAACATACAGTTCTGCTGGGAAACTTAATTTAGTTATCTATTTGTGTTTGCAGACCTTATCCTTTGATATGTGGATTATCAAAGGATAATGGGGAACTTATTTTGTGGGTTGAGGCAGTTTGCTAATTTAATTAAGGTGGAGACACTGATTTTCAGACTGTTGTAGGTTCTGTTAATATTTTTAAAGGAAGATGGAAACAGTATAAAGAATAAATATATATTTGGATATAAGACTTCTCATACCATGATTTGTTCAATTTAGGGTTTAGGGTTTGTCACGACTGACAAGATCTTTTTTTTTTAATCTTTGTCAGCCACCCAGAATCCCTGAGTCAGTTGGGTGGCCGAATCCATTTTCTTAAACACATAAAATAAGTAGGACTGATTTCCTGTAACAATTGCTAGATTCCACAGTGTTTGTTCATGTAAAAGAGAGATCGATCAGTACAGTATATGCACCATCACTTTGTGTTTTCAGTGGCATCGCAAGCACTCTGACTCTACAGTCCTCAATTTTTGTTTCTTCTATATGTATATATGTTGTGATTTTATTTCACTGGGATTTTTTTTTCTGATAAGTTAAACTAGGACATGATCTACTGAGGACAGAATGTTGTGCACCATTAAAATGCAGAAAGCTTTGGCAGGAAAGTGGGTGATAACCCATGGAAAGAATTATTTTGATTATTATCTCACCTTTCTTTTCTTTTTCTTCCTTCTTTCTTTTCCTTCCTTCCTTCCTTCCTTCCTTCCTTCCTTCCTTCCTTCCTTCCTTTTCTCCCACAGGAGGCAAAAGAGTTGCTAGAGAGGTAAGTAGTGTTTCTCTTTTCTTATATATCAAATTACAGCCAAAGTTAGGACCAACATTTCCTTTCATAAGCAAGGTGGTTGTTAAATGTTGTCCCCAACCTTTTTTTTTTTGCCACCGTTGTTAAGTGAATCCAGCTTCCCCTGTATCCTGATCATGACCAACAGCTGTAAATGTGAGGATCGGTTGTAAATCACTCCTTTCAGCATTGTAACTTTGGTCTCTCAATGAATGGTTGCTAAGTCCAAGACTACCTATATAATAAATACATGAAAGGAAGAAAAACATGAACCAACAAGGAAGGCATCACGTTACATTAGTTTGCCTCCTCACTGTAGGCATAATGGGCTTGGCTCGTGTCAGGGGCACCTGTGGTGGCCCAGGCAGGGCTGGGGGGGATCCACTTTTGCTAAGTTTATTTTGCTAGCACTCTGCCAGCGAAAACGGAGCTCGGGGGAGGGGGCCTGCGTGGCCACCCTGGGCTCCATTTTCGGCTGTGATGGCCTCTGCAGCCCTCTGCCAGCGAAAAGGGTCACCGTGCGCGGCCCTCCCAAGCTCCATTTTCCCTGGCAGAGGCACCGCAGGCCAGTCCTTTGTTGTTTCCAGGGCAGCCCGACGGGCCAGATCTAAACACCCTGCGGGCTGGATCCGGCCTGCAGGCCTTGAGTTTGACCCCTCTTGTCGTGGAGGAAATAAATCAATGTACCGTAAAGCTTTATCTCTATTAAGATCTACTTTAACAAATGAGCCTCTGAAGCAGTTAACAAGAAATGTTTTTATTAATATAAAAACAAAACAATATCTATTCAAATACTAATTTATTTATTTATTTATTTTATTTATTAATAAATTAATACATTTATTAATAATATTTTATTAAAATAAAAATAAATACTAAATACTATTTCATTACTATTCTTAAATATCCTGTCAGGTATATATATATATATATGTGTGTGTATATATATATATATATATATATATATATATATATATATATATATATATGTGTGTGTGTGTGTGTGTGTGTGTGTGTGTGTGTGTGTGTGTGTGTGTGTATAGTTAATATTTCGGGTTTCTTCCCGTGTAATTGTGGATATATCCCTAAAAGGGTAGAAGCGACGTTTCGGCAGAATCCCATCTGCCATCATCAGGCTAATGCCAGTAGTCATTTTGCACTAACTGACGGCAGATGGGATTCTGCCGAAACGTCGCTTCTACCCTTTTAGGGATATATCCACAATTACACGGGAAGAAACCCGAAATATTAACTATACACACATACATACCCGTGAAAACTTACATAAACAAATATATATATATGTATATATATATATGCCTTCTGAACTGCCAACGGTTTCCTGTCAAGAATCTCCTTTTATACTGTCAACTGTGACAGTTAGGGGAGGGAACTATAAATAAAAGCCCCGGAGATTCAAACCCGTCAGCTGCCTTCTGATTGGCTTATTTACTTGTCCATTCCAAAAGCCATTAATAGGCACAGCACCTGAGAAATAACTTTTCTCTCACACCCGTGATGCAGGGTATATTACTTTGCCTCCTCACTGTAGGCATGACTTCCTCTTCCACCTTTCAGAAGCTGCTGGATTTGCCAAAATGAGTAGGTGAAGCTCCTCCATGCAGTATACAGAAGGGAAGATGGCTACTAGTTTACTTCCATTAAAAAAAAACCTCTGCTACAATTATAAAGTTGGCTCCTCTTCCTTCTTGGGAGTAGAGGCAAAGCAAGGCTGATTTCGCCACGAAAAGAGTTTAATTGGGACGGAAAATGTTCTTCTGGCCCTTTGCCTCCTACCCAAATTACTTCTAAAATCTCTGTAAAACTACAAAAGAAAAAGTGGAGATTTTCTTGGGCGAGTCTTCCCTTCTGATGATGACGTGGGCATTTTCTTGGCAATAGTATGGCCATCACCACCTCCTGGTTTTTGCAACTTCCCTGGGAAGTATTCATCAGATCTGAATCTACCTAACTTTTTAGGAAGTCATCCTCTGTTGGCCTTGTGCTGTTCTCTGCTGTGATTATTTTAAAAAATACATGGGTGCTTCTAATAAAACCTGATTTATGGAGCAGGAGATGTCCCAGGTGTAAATGTCTTCCAATTCTAAATCCTCCCGCTTTCCTCCAATATTTTCCTTGTTTTTTTCCCCTTAGTGCACAAAATCCATTAAAGAGGCCAACAAATAATAATAGGGCAGCATCATTCTTTTTTTGATCAGAAGCGCTCAGATATCTCTCTGTAGAAGGACCCCAATCTGATTCCTTGATAGAATTGGGACAGCTTATTCTAAAATGGCTGATCCTTGGGATGCTCTTCTCCTACAGGGTCCGTAAGGAACAAGAAGCTCTGGATGAACCCGAACTAGATGCTGAACTGGTAAGAGAAGATGGGCTGGAGACCAGCAGTGAAGACACAGATGAGTATGAGAATGAGACTGATGAAGATTTTGATGAGGAAGAAGAAGAGGAGGAGGAGGAAGAAGAAGAAGAGGAGAAGGAAGAGGATGAAGATGGAGTGGTGGCTGTAGATTTGAACCTGGGCGAGTTTAAAGGACCTCTGCAATTCTATGTCTGGAAGAAGCTGCTGGGTGAGCTACATCCAGGTGAGTTGAGGTTTTTAGACCAAATGTATTGGTTATTGGTTTATTACTTTTATACCCTATTTTTTTGTGTGGAAGTTCAAGGCTGTGTACTCCAGCAATAATCTGTAATGTGATGATGATGATGATGATGATGTTATCCATTCAGTCATGTTCAACTCTTGGTGATCCTATGGCCCAGTTCTCTCCACATCTTCCAATTTTGCACTGCTTTTCTGGTTCTTCTATGCTCTGGCTGGTGTCCAGCTTTGATGGTGTCGAGCCACCGTGTTCTTTGACTGCCTTGTTTCCATTTACCACTAATTCTTCTAAGTATAATTACTTAACTGCTCTAATTACCCTATTCTATACCGCATTTCCCCGAAAATAAGACCCTGTCTTATATTTTTTTGAACCCTGAAATAAGCGCTTGGCCTTATTTTCGGGGAGGTCTTATTATTTTGGGGCACGTGGAGCAAGATGGGGCTCCTCTTGCTGTCTTACCTGATTTCCAGCTCTGTCTCCCTAACCCTAACCAGAGGAAATAGTGGGGACCGGCTGTGCATGCGTTTATATATTTTCGGGAGAGGGCTCATTTTCGGGGAAATTACACCATCATGTGGTTTGGGCTAAAAGAGAGAAAGGAAGCTTCAGACATGTTGAGGATGGCAGTAGCTTTATTAACAGCTGGCTCATATTAGATTCATTTGTGTCTTAATTTCTTTCTGGACCACTTTATACTCCTGCAATAGCTTGCTGCACAAGAAGGCTCTTGTTGATTCTGAATTCTTTCTATCTTTCCGCTCCAGTCCCTGCAAGCATCAGTTTGAACTGGAACTCAGCTCATCCCAATTTGGTCGTTGTGGAAGAAGCCACCGGGGTCAAGTTCAGTCCTGGCCGACGATTTTGGCGACGAAAGCTGGAGCGCTTCACCTCCACCCCGTGTGTGGTGGGACGGAAGGGCATTACCACTGGCTGCTTCTACTGGGAGGTCGATGTCGAGGACAGCAACAATTGGATAGTGGGGATGGCCAAAAAGTCTGTGAAGCGTAAGGAGAAGCTGAACTTTCTGCCCAAGGAAGGGGTGTGGGCTATTGAGCTGAAGGCCGGAGAGTACCAAGCTCTGAGTGAGCCCCGTACGTCCCTCTCGGTCTGCGGGGAGATGGAAAAAGTTGGGGTTTACCTGGACTTTGAATGGGGGCAGCTCTCTTTTTACAACAGCAGCAGCATGACCCACCTCTACACCTTCCAAGCATGCTTCCATGAAGAGATGCTCCCCTTTCTCAGCACTCGCAGCAGCTACCCCCTCTTAGTGAGGGTCCTGGAGCTGTGAGAGTTTAGCTCATGGTGTAGCATTGCAGAGAACAGCCTGGTGAAAATTGAAAACATTGAGATGCATTAAGTCCATGCTATTCCCTCTTTGCAAGCAATCTCTCAAAGATTCGAAACTGGTCTGACCTGACTATTGTGGTCTATGATGGTTGTTCTAGGTGCAGAGACTGCTATAAGTGTAGCTTTCAAGTTGACCTTCTATTTCCCACATGCTTAATTTTCTTGACCCATTGACCGTAGTGAGGCTAGAGGTTACCTCCGTCCACCTGTGGTGCAAGGTATTTTACCTGCTTTCAGTGCATTCCACTGCAGGCAAAAACAATGAAGGCAAGCCATACTTCCTGCCCTTGGTTGGGAAGGCCTTAGTAGAGATGTTCAAATATTCCAATACTTAGTTGTGTTTGTATCTGTAACAAGTTATGATTTTCCTCATCACCCTATAATGCTATAGGGCATTCCACATCAAAACAACTAGAAAAACTTTCACCTTATCACTTTCACAAAATGTTTTATCAATCTGATTTTTATGTGGCGACAAAAATAACTTTGTCAGGTCAACAAGTGCCATGTCACTGGAGATTCTCAGTCATGCAGGTCATGGTGGTCCCAAAGGTGGTTTTTCAAGAGACTGTTGAAAAAGTTGAGAGAGGGCGGATACATTTTGGAGAGAGAGGACCACTGCTCAAGAGTACTCAAAGAGGCCATCTATGTCAAACTTGAACAGCCCTCTCTCAACAGACCTAGGCTTACTGAGTCATTACAAGACACAATTAGTCCCAAACAAACCTATTGTCAGTGTTCCAAATTATTGTAACAGCTGAGAATTACGTTCATTCCCAGATGAGTCCCAATTAATTGCCAAGAAAGTCCTTCGGAAGAAGTCCTTCAGGATAATCACCAACCTTTATCTTCTTTAACACCCTGCCAAAGGCCGGCCTTGGCAAAGCCCCACAAAGTTCAGAAACAAACAAGAGATGCCGACTGGAAACAGAGTTAGCAACGTTGCTTTCCTACAAAAGGCCCAAGTGCCTTTGTTTCTCTTTTAAGCCTTAAGGGAGGGGCCAATCATCTCCTGGCCTTATTCCCGAGACGTCCCTTTTGCTTTAGCTGCTCTTGCCTTCTGGCAGCTCTGTGCATGCATGCACACACTAGGAACAGGCTCCTCCTGTTCCACTGCCTCTCTGCTGTCCGACTCTGGGGGCTCTGGAGTCCATGCATCATTCCCAGATGGCCCTGGCCCCATCACTGCCTCCGATGCAGAGCCCTCATCCGGGCATTCCACAGACTCCACTGTCCGACTCCGCTGCCAGCTCCACAGGCTGCTGGCGGACCACAAGAAGGGAGGGATACGACATCCATCTCCAATCTACAATGCAGTCCTTTCAGCAGTTCCAAGAAGGCTCCACATCCATTTGCACCACTCAGGTGACCTTGAGGACACAGACAAACCTCCAAGTGCTTCAAAGACCCTCTAAAAGAATGCAAATGACCAGCTGTCTGCAAGGAGTATAAATCCTTCCATTCCCCTCCATCCAGTCAGAGCTGAAGAAGCGAAAAGTCTTCAAAGAAAAAACAAAGCCTGGTTGCCTCTTGAAAAAGCACCTTTGGGACAACAAGTGCCATGTTTTTTCTGTCCTGGAACCAAATTATTTTGGAGTGGCCATTTCTTTTTAATGTAATGCAGCTCTCCTGCATAGCTGTCCCATTTGCATATATAACGTATTTGGCCTATCTCAACTGCCTCTATTTCTGGATCTCAACAGATATTCCAGTTGTGCTTGATATAACAGATGTGTTTTAAGAACAGTTCTATATTTTTATGTTTCTTTCGTGTGTGCAGCACAGACCACAGATCATGAGTATATGATGTCATTATATAACAACAGAATATTTCTACAAAGCAACATGTGATAGGTTACAGGGTTTTTTTCCTGATTAGCAGCCAGAAAGAAAGTGCAGCATGAAAAATTTGGCAGTCAAAGTATGTAATTATATAATAGATATTTCCAATATATACGAATTGAAGCAGTAGAGTCAGGGACATAAACATTAAAAACTGATAGAGAAAAAAAAACCTGGACTGCTCAGATTTGGGTTTTCCCAGATGTGCCAGTATACCTATTCTAATAAATGGAACTTTGAAAAATGCCTGCCTCGGAGTTTTTACTTGGAGTTGGGGACTTTCTGGAATGCTGACAGACATGTTAATCTGTTGGACCTAGAATTGACAAGGCATCTCCAGATGGAAGAGTAGGAGACAAGATCTTCCACTCAAGGATTTTGAAGCAGTCTACTTACTGTCCAATATGTTTGCGTTCAACAGAAGAGTAGTTCAAGTGTTGTACGGTGAAGATGTTACCCAGTTGGGTAATAAAATGCAAGGAAACATCCAAGATCAGGGAGCACCAAGGACTCCAGATTTGCTTGCCTACGTTTTCCACCAGAGAAGAAGAGAAAAAAATGCAATCATAAAAAGAGGAATGGCTATATACTGTAAAAGGAAAGAAATTGTGTATTTATATATTAAGTCAAAATAAAAATGACCAACCTGAATTTTAGAGGTTTGCACCAAAATGAACAGTAGATGCTTTTCAAACAGGAAAACATGATAGACAAATTATGTGCATATGACATGCTTTCACATATAGTATGTAGACACATGGATACAGTACATGTACATATCACCACCATGATTATTGCAACTCTTGTAAGTTAGCTATTCTCATGTCCCTACGTAGACCTATAAGATCTGGGCCACAAAAACCCAGATAATATACGAAATAGCAGCAAAGCCCTAAGTTTTTGCCTTCCCTAAAGATGCCTTTTTAAAGATTTGTCCTTATTTCCAGCAGGAACTTTAATAATAAATTCCTTTGCTTTTGTGCCTGATTTGCGATCTTGACTTCTCTTTTATTATGCTTCCTGGCCCCACAGAATTTTGGAAAGCAATTATGCATAAATGACCCAGACTTCATCTGTTGATCTATCTTTCAGGATAATATAATAGCACTTATATATCGCTTCATAGTGCCTTACAGCCCACTCTAAGCAGTTTACCGAGTCAGCGTGTTGCCCCTAACAATTTGGGTCCTCATTTTACTGAGCTCGGAAGGATGGAAGGCTGAATCAACCTTGAGCCAATCAGGGTCAAACTACTAGCAGTGAGCTGAATTAGCCTGCAATACTGCATTCTAACCACTGCGCCACCACTGCTCTTAATGCTCTGAAAATCAAAATGAAACCAGAAAAATAAAGATGGCATTTCAAAAAGGGCAGGTTCTGGAGCATTGGAGTGAGCCAAGGTGGCACAGTGGTTGGAATGTAGTACTGCAGGCTAATTCTGCTGACTGACTGACTGCAATTTGGCAGATTGAATCTCGCCAGACTCAAGGTTGACTCAGCCTTTGACCCTTCCGAGGTGGGTAAAATGAGCACCCAGATTGTTGGGGACAATAGGCTGGCTCTGTAGACCACTTAGAGAGGGCTGTAAATGCCCTGTGAAGCGGTATATAAGTCTAGTGCTATTGATATTTCAGGAGACTCAGCTGAGTGGGAGATGGGGTTACAGCTTGGGATGCTGCCAACTGCTCAACGATCCCCTACCTTCTGTAAGAAGTAATTACGCACCTCCCCTCCCCCCCAGAGAATGAAATATTTTGGGGAATATCAAAAGAGGCAGAATATTATATTTCCCCAAAGTAGAAATGGGGAAACGTGCTCTTAAAGGCAGAAAGTAGCCCCAGTTTTCTGCATAGTAAGACAGCCCCCAGCAGATGCCTGAACTCTTTAGAGATGATTATTTTGTGCCCATTCAGGAAGACTGGGCCAATCTTTTCACAAAAACTTTAAAGTCACAGAAACCTATTAAGATCCATCCACTCCTTCAGCCAATTTGTCAGCTGTCCCAGAACTACTTGCTCTTGTTGGTTCTGCTCATCAATAAACAGAGTCCTTCTTTCCAATCAGCCTCCATTTTATATTTATTTTTTTAAAAAATATTTTTATTAAACAATTTTTTTTAAAAAAACAAAAACAGATATACATCTTCTTTTCAACATCTTCGCATCAGTGATCCATATTTATACATTTTCTCTTATCTTAATATATCTTTTATACATGTATTTCTAGTATATCATATATATACCCTTATAATATATTCTATCATTCTAGTTAATGTATTTACATTTAACATAAACATGTACCTCATTTCCTTTCCACAATTTTTATATCTTCCCATTTATTTCTATATTTCCCCACCTAATTTAACCATTATTTAGTCTTCTGTTGTCCCCCTTTCCCTACCTTTCCTCCAACCATCTATACCATTTCTCCCAGACTAAGTAATATTCTGTTTCATCTTTTTCTTGTACCTCCTTCGTGAGTTTATCCATTTCCGTACACTCCCCAATTTTTCTAATCACATTGTCTTCTGATGGTATGTCATTCTTTTTCCAGTTTCGCGCGAAAACTATTTGTGCTGCTGTAATTATGTGAATGATTAACTACCTTATTTCTTTTTCATATGGCCCAGTAATTATTCCCAGTAGGAAGGTTTCTAGCTCATTTTATTTGTTGATTTATAATTTCTTCTATTTGTGTTTTAATTATTTGCCAAAATTGTTTTGCCTTATGGCAAGACCACCACATTTGATAATAAGTTCCTTTTTGGTGTTTACATTTCCAACATAACAGAAGCCTCCATTTTATTTCTAGCACCTCTCTCCCAGATTGGAACCGGATGAGATTTTTCTTCCTACACTTGTTACTAATTTAACACCTGCAGTGATTCTTTTAATTATTGTGGCAAGAAAAATGGTAAAATGGAGCAAAACTCACTTAAAAAATGTCTCGCTTAGCAACAGAAAACTTGGTCTCAGTTGTGCTCATAAATTGAGGACCACCTGTATCCATTTCAGGAAGGGAGGAGAAAATGATAACTATATATATACACATGGGTAATAGAAAATGTACACATGAATATTCACAATTAGCAAACCTCAAATTACTTTCCCATCCACCCACCCTTACTGTTCTCAGGAAAGAGTTATTGTCTTAATAATAAAAAGAAATGTATTAGTTGTCATAGAAGTTTTGATAAGGATTTCGAGAAGCAAGGCCTCAGTTAACACACTTTCCTTCTATCTTGCTAAGATGTTCAGGAATTTGTTTTCCTCACAAGCCTTAGGACTATGGAATTATTCTTCCGATTATCTTTTCATTCATCTGTCGATTCTTGCAAGAGATCCACACCAGACCAAAAACCTGAGTTCTGTGGTTGCTTAGGAAAGAACTGGGGATGCACAAATAATTTGAACAATTTAATTCAGAATTATAATATATGCAGATGCAGAAGGTAGAATTCTGATGGTGGAGATAGTTGACAATAATACGAAAATTCTTTTGGTAGCAATATATGCTCCAAACAACAACCAAAGTGACTTTTATAGAAAACTGCATTTGAAAATAATTGAAATGGAATATGACAATATATGTATGATGTGTGATTTTAATGGAATAGTGGATGAAAACCTGGACTATAAAATACATAAAATAGTAAGACATGGTAGAAAGACATTACCGAATTCCTTCTTTAAGATGATAGGGGAAATAAATTTGAAAGATGCATGGAGAGATAGAAATGGAAAAAAATAGACAATATACTTTTTATTCTGATAGACACTCATCTTGGTGTAGGTTAGATATGATATGGACAACAATGGAATTGACTTTGAATATAGAACAAGTAGAAATAGAAACAAATATATTGGTAGACCACAATCCTGTGATAGCTATTTGGAGAGGACGAAAAAGGAAATGCAGATGGACTCTAAATAATACAATATTAAAAGAGAAAGACTTTGTACAGAAAATGGAGAGAGTGTTGGCTTTTTTTTTCAAGGAGAGTAAGAAAGAAGATACATCGGCACAAAATCTTTGGGATACAATGAAGGCCTATGCCAGAGGCTTAATAATGGATTATACAAGGAAAAGAAATTTGAAGAAAAGACAAACATTTAAAATATTGACAGATGACTATAAGATTTGAAAAGGAACTCCAGAAAGATCCACATAAGAAAGATGTAAAAGTGAAAATGGATATAATAAAAGCATAAAATGGATTTACTGGAGAAAGAAGAATTAGCCCAAAAAATTAGAAGCACTAAACAGAATTATTTTGAAAATGTGAATAAACCAGGAAGATGGCTAGCATATAAATTGAAAAAAGAAAGAGAATCAAGAAAAATAACACAATTAATTGATGATCAAGGGCAAAGTAAATTTGGAAATAAAGAGATGGGAAAAATAATACAAGAATATTATAGACAACTTTACAAGAGAGAGATGATAGAGGAGGAAAATGTGGCAAGATACTTACAAGAAGCAAAATTACCTCGGATTCCCAAAGATATTGAGGAGATGTTGGAGGGGAATATAACGATGATGGAGTTAACAGAAGCAATTAAGAAGCAAAAGAGCGGAAAGGCACCAGGGTCAGATGGTTTACCTGCCGAATATTATAGGATATTACAAGAATCTTTAAGTCTCCCATTACTGGAAGTTATGAATGAAGTGATGATGAAGAAGAAAATACCCAAGTCATGGACTGAGACATATATTACATTGATCCACAAAGAAGATACAGACCCACAACAAATAAAAAATTATAGTCTTATATCCCTGCTAAACTCAGACTATAAAATTTTTGCCTCAATATTGGCGGAAAGACTTCAGAGATATTTAAATAATTTTATACATACAGATCAAAATGGATTCCTTCCAAAAAGTCAGATTAGAGACAATATTAGAATAATCCTGGATACTTTAGAATACTATGAAGCACATCCTGAAAAGCAGATGGCTTTGATATTCTTAGATGCACAAAAAGCTTTTGACAATGTAAATTGGTGATTTATGACACTTCAAATGGAAGAGATGGGCTTTGGTAGGAAATTTATACAGGCAACTGAAGATATATATTTTAAGCAAACGGCAAAAGTAATGATAAATGGAGAATTGACTGATTCTATTGAAATAGAAAAAGGTACTAGACAAGGATGTCCACTGTCCCCACTGTTGTTTATATTGACATTAGAAGTTTTAAATAGAAATATTAGAGAAGAAAAAGACATAAAAGGTATGAAAATTCAAAAAGAAGAATATAAGTTGCAAGCATTCACAGATGACCTGGTTTTTATTTTAGAAGAACCATTAATATCAATAAATAAACTAATGGAAAATATTGGAGAGTTTGGGAAAGTAGCTGGCTTGAAAATTAATAGAGATAAAACGAAGATTGTGATTAAAAATATGTTGACAAAGCAAAAAGAAAAACTGATGGAGATGCAGGTCACAAATAAGGTAAAATATTTGGGGATATATTTGACTGCAAGATGTAGTACACCTAAAGAAAATAATTACAATAAGCTTAAGCAACAGATAGGGACAGATCTGGCGAAATGGGGAAATTTGCAGCTCTCTTTGATTGTTAGGATCTCAACTAGATTAAAAAAACATTATTTGAAGATTCCAGTCTGGGTATCTACAACTGAAGCATTTTCATATTCTGTAGTATTCCAAAGGGAACAAATTGTTAGATATTGTGAATTACTGGATGAAAAGGGTGAACTTAAATTAAAGCAAGAATTAGAAGATCAGGGATGTAAGATGGATTGGTTTTCATATATGCAAATATGTTCTAGATATGAAGAAGATCTTAAACAAGAAGGTTTGTACAATGTTCTGACTAATTTAGACAAGATTTTAATGGGTTCTGATGATTATGTAATTAAAAAATTATATGGATATTTGTTAGAGGTAAAATTGGAAGAACAAGTTAAAGAATCAATGATAGCATGGGGGAAAAATTTTGGTCATGGTATTGACTTAGAGAAATGGCAAAAATTGTGGTTGCAAAATTACAAAATGACAATGTCTACAGCATATAAGGAAAATCTGTATAAGATGTTTTACAGGTGGTATTTACCCCTGACGAGGATAGCCAGAATGTTCAAGAATAAATCGGAGAAATGTTGGAAGTGTCATCAGACCCCAGGATCATATTACCATATGTGGTGGACATGTGTAGAAGCCAGGAGATATTGGACTAAGATACACACGTGGTTGGAAAAAATGATAAAGAGACATATTGACTTTAAACCAGAGATATTTTTATTAGGGATTTTACCAGCGACATACAATAGAGAATTGCAATATTTAATTGTGAATGTTTTAACAGTGTCTAGAATTGTATTTGCTAAAAATTGGAAAGGAGAAAAGTTACCTATTGATGAAGAAGTTATTAAGAAAATGATGGACTGTGCTGAAATGAGTAAATTGACATTTGAAATTAGAGAACAGGAAGATAAACAATATTATTTGATATGGGATTTGTTCTATCAATGGATAGATAATAAAACATGTAGATGGAATATGAAATATGAAGTTGATGTAAAGAAAAAATATGTGAAGTTTTCTTTTTATGAGTAATAAGCTTTTGTTATATATTGGTACTTTGAAGATGGGATTATGCACAAAAGAATGTTAACTAATCGACACACTGCCTGTAATTGTTTGGAATGATGATGGTTTTATGTTTTGTTGTTGTTTTAAAATAAAAAAAGTCTTTTAAAAAAAATGGTTGTAAAATGGGACAAAATTTATGTAACAAATTTCTCATTTAGCGAGAGAGGAAGAGAGAGAGGTAGCTGACACTACAAAAATTCCATAAGGAAAAAGAAAAACATTAAATAAATACCGGGGAACATAAAAATTAATATATTGCTAACTAAATCTATCACTGTATAAAACACTCTTACCTAACAAATTAAATGCTAATTAGGGCTGGTTGGGGGACAGACGTCTGACGGAACCTGGCTGGAGGTATAAAATTGTCCTGGGGTCAGTCAAATGCTGGTGTTCATTTTATGTGGGATCTAAACTTTCTCTTCCTTCAGGACCAGC